ACGGGAAGGAGACAAAGGGCAGGGTGGCCCTTGAGTGTCCGTGAGGAAACACAAGCTTCCGTCCCTGGGCAGCAGAGAGCCACTGAAGTGTTAGGCAGAGGAATGGAAAGATCCAGAATTGAGGGCTTCGGGGGGAATTAATGTGGTTCTGGACCAGACAGGCAGGTGATGAGGCTGCAACCGGCTAAGATGCTGTTGCGTTGCCGGGAGGTGGAGGGAAGGGGCCTGGTTGGGAGAGGGGGTGGGGGGACGCAGTGGGCAGAGTCACCTGGCTCCGGAACGGGGAGCGGCGACAGGGAGGGGAGGCGGCTACGAGGTCCCCTCATGCTTCCGACAAACTTGGCCGCTCTCCGACTCCGCTCTTCACGGGTCCTTTCTGGGGAGGGACCGGGGACGTGCACTCACCTGAGATTGTCTCTGTCTTCCCACATTCACAGAGCATGTCCTCCTGTGATCACTGGAGGCGGGCCTTCAAAGAATGTCAATCAAACCGAGCTAAATTCCATGGATTTGTGGCCGAGGCCACTGTCTTGGCTGCTCCCCACGCTGGACCCAGCTTCTGCCTCCAGGAGACGGGAGACGGAGGAAGCGAAACCAAGGGCACGCGCCCCTGCCTGAGGGGCCACGGCATGTCCAGCTGGGGTCCGGTGACCAAACAGCCTGCACCAGGCAGCCTGGTTGCAGCCGCAGCTGCTGTGGGCGCGCGCGCAGCTGCTGGCAGGCTTTGCTGCCATGTTTGCAACCTACGCAGACAAACTGACATTGCTCATTAATTACCTTCGTGTGCAAAACACTAGATGGGTTTACACTCAATTCGGCAGGCATTTAGAGGGCAGGGATGACTTACAACTCAGGTTTCCCATGAGCGCTGCTCATGAGTGGGGTGTGGGGGGGAGGGGCGGTGTCTGTGTGCGCCCGAAGCCCAAGGCAGCCTCCCGCGGAGCAAGCAGGTGCAGGGGAGGGACTTGCCCCAGGGACAGACCCAGAAAACCAACACTGCGTTGAAACATGAGCCCTAAGTCCAAACTCCCAGGAGTAGACGGTCCCAAGCATAGGAATAAATTTGTATGGAAGATTTTTCTCACAAGAGCCTCTTGCTGTAGAAGGCGTGAAGGCAGGTGGTAGCCAGGCCTGCTACTTGCCGGCCCTCGGTTAATAATTCTCCGCACCCGCACCAGCGAGGAGCATCTCGGGGAGTCAGGAGACGTCCACTCCCCCGCCTCCGGGGAACTGGGTGGTATTCCCAACACCCAAGGTCTCCAAACCCAGCGTCACTAACGGCATGTTGTGGCTCACAGAGGTGCTGGCCAGATTTGGCCCTGGCTGTGGCATGTCTCCGCGTGCCCTTGCAGAGCTTCACGGCCAGGGTCCCCTCCCTCCGCTGTGCCCGTGAAGCCGGCCCTGGGGACCGCGTGCCGCTGTGGGGGCAGATGTCCTTGGGGTCCCTTCCTGCGTTTGGCTCCTGCCGGGTTGCTCCCAGGCCAGAGGCCTCAGCTCTCACGGGCGGCCAGCACCTGTCGGGAGGGCCCCGTGTGGCTCCCGCTCTCGCCCCGCCCCCCCGTCCCCCCCCCAGGGAGGGAAGGAGCCCCGACCTGGGCCGGTGACCGCTCCGCCCACTCTTTTGTGAATGGCTCCTTTAGGAAACGCCCCTTTGAATGGCCCTAATTTAGATTGGATTACCCCAATTCGCTGTGAATTGCCCTAATTTGGGCGCGCCCTCTGTCTCCTGCCGGGATGACTCCGTCCCCTTGTGTCTCCTTCCCAGCAGGCGAGTTCACGCTTCCCCTCCAGGATCTCGTCTTTGAGCGCCTCCCCCAAAATGTTCTCAGTCTCTCTTTACTTATCTCTCCCCCTCACCCCCACCCCCGCTCCGGATTCTGAGCAGAACGTGGGGAGTAGTTATCCCGCCCCCCCCCCCACTTCTGAACACCATTCTCCCCTTATTGGGGGAGTAGTCTCCTAGTGGACGCTTTGTGTAACTCAGGAGTCAGCGGAGGCCATATTTCTTTCCTGTAAGACAACATCGCTGACCCTGTTAGTTGGTTTTGTGTAGCGAAAGCCCCGTTCCAGCCATCAGTTACTTCCTGCGGGTGCATGGGCCTCGCGTGGGGCGCCCCGCGTTCTCCGTCGCTGAGCACGAGGTCGGTGGGGGGCCCCGTGGAGCCGGCCTGTCCACGTTAATGTGTTCACCTCGTGCTGGCCGCTCTCTGCCCCTCTGGATCCACGTCTTGTCCTTCTGCGACCGCGGGCTCTGCTCCCCACGGGAGAGCAGTCGGTTGTGGCCCGCGGAGCCCCAGCATGAGGTCAAAGCCCGGAGGAGAGAGAGTGGGGGCCCTCACCCCCACTCCCTGCCCGGTGGGCAGGCGGGCCCTCCCAGGGCGTGTGTCTTGCTGGGCCCTGCACACAGCCCCTCGCTGGCCTCCAGTGACATCGGCGCCCCGCTGCCGCTGGCACCTGGGCTCTTTCCTGTCCTCTCTTGTCCCCTCACCTCTGCAAACAGTTCCTGCACCAAACGCTCATCAGGTGCCTCCTTGGGTGTGTCATCTGCTTGCTGCTGAGACCGTTACGGACACAGCACATGCCTTTTAATGTCCTTCAGAGACCGGAAGGCCGGACCACAACCTGTCATCCGACGTCGGGTGTAATTCAGAAGTCACACGTGAGACCCTAACATGTCAAATCCCAGCCGTACCTTCGAGTTCATCATAAATCGCGTCACATGTCCCTTGACCTGGGGTCCCCAAATACAGCATGGAATGCAGGAAGAGGCTGAATTCGGATCCTGGGTTCCCGGGCAGACGCCGCCCTGGGCACGGGCCGTCCTCGGAGACTCGGCGGGTGGAGGCCTCCCTCCAGGTCTGGCCCCGACCCCTCTCCGCTTCCCTCCCCAGTGAGCTCACGGGCCCGCCGTGGGCCGCGAGGGCCCTCGCTGCCCCTCCCGCCGGAGCAGGCGGCGGCCCTGGCCTGTCTCCCCGAGGCTCACGCTCAGGGCTGGAGGAGACCGTGCGACTCCTCGCACCGAGGTGCTTCCGGTGTTTGTTCCCTATCCTTTCCGTGGCGCCTGAGTTAGAACTGACTAGGAATTTTAAAAAATGTCTTGCTTACCTTACCATGATTGAGCTCCATCTACTACTTTTCAGTTATATTAAAAGAAAAAAAAAAGACACGTGCAAGAACCCGAGCTCAGTGCACCCCCCCCCCCCCCATGACAGGCCCCGGGGCAGCTGCGCAGCCGGCCCTGGGGGAGCTTGGCCCGCCCGTCTCTGAACCTGGCCGTCCGAGCACTCGCCCTGAAGTTTCGAGGTAATTCAGGGCAGGAGGGTCGGGAAAAGAAAAAGGCAGTTGTTGTCCCACTGCCCCTCCAGAAGACCGACCTTCCCGGGCGCCCGCCCCGCGGGCTGCGTCTGTGTCGGAAGCTTCCCCGCGGGCCGGGCGGCTGTGGGCTCACCGGGAAGGCGGACCGGGCCGCAGCCGGCCTCCTTGTGGGCGTGCGAGGGTCAGGCCGCCGTGTGCCTTGAGAACGACCCAGGGACACCGGGAACCAGGCGCTGAGGCCAGCTGACCCCAGGGGAGCAAAGGGCGGCCCGACGGTGCTTTGCCCAGGCCTCGTCCCCGCGCCCCCACCCCGGGAGGCGGCAGCGGGGCGGGGGATGTCCGTGGCAGGACGGGACGCGGGCCAGCGCACTAACCCCGGGGGCTTTGACAGCTGCCGGCGCCGCCTGCGGTGAGCGCAGGCCGCTCCTTTCCGCCTGGGTATTTTTATCTTTGCACTCGCTGAAGTGTGTGACGTTGAACGAACCCACCTAGAAAGGTCACAGAAGCTCCGCATCCCATGAAATCAGTTCTTACAAAAAGTGACGACGTCAGGAAAGATCATGTTCTCTCTGCCCCGCCGAGCGATCACGCCACTGCCACCTGCGTCCGCTGGGCCGGGCGCGCTGATTGACCAGGGCGTCTCGGACCCCGGTAAGGAACCAGCCCACCAACGCTCAGCATGTGCCCACCTGCCCCAGCGACCCAGCCTGTGTTCTGGAGGGACGGACAAGCCTTGGGAACGAAGGGCATTGAGTCCTCACGGCCTAGCCCGTCCAGAGCACAGGGAGGGATCAAGGGGACAGCCCACCGCACCAGGCAGTGACCCCTGAAGGAACAAGCAAGGACCACAAGGTCTCCCAAAGCTCCGTCTCCCTCTCCTTGTAGGGGCTTCCTGTCGCCCTCCCCACGGTTCGCCTGTGCTTTTCTGCCTTTCCAGGGGGCTCTCTCTTTACCCATCCCTCACCACCATCACCACGATAAAGTCCCTGCCCTTGCCCTGGCCCGGTGGCTCAGCTGGATGGAGCATCATCCCGTAACCGAAAGGCTGCAGGTTCGATCCCCAGTCAGGGCATGTTATAAAGGACACCAATGGATAGTTCTCCCTCTCTTTTTTTTTTTACCTTCCTCTCTCTAAAATCAATAAACATATTAAAAATAAATAAAATAAAACCCATCCTCTCTTTTCCCAGTTTCCTCTGCTACTCTCAAGGGTCTTCCCGGGTCTTCCCGCTGCCCTGTCGCACAGAAAAGGCGTCATCGGTTTTTATGATGCAATGAGAGTGGCGTTGTCCGGGACAAAGTGAAGCCGGCTCCTGACAACTCATCCCCGTGTTTAAACGTTTGCCCTAATATCCCAAGAGCTGGAAGTGACCAGAATGAAGGAGACATAATGGACAACATGCCAATTTAATGCAGATCCAAAACATTAAAAAGAAACAACCAGGACGCAGCATCGCTATTCAGGGTGGGACTCGCCGCAGTGTAGCTTTCTGGGTCCGCTAGAAAACCCCCACCCAGAGCGTGTCCGCATCCTGGCCGGAGGCGGGGCTCTCCCGCCAGCCCCAGCGCCTTTGCGAGCTCACGGCTACGTCTGCGTGAATGAAACCCCATTCAATACAGAGCGAAGCTCCAGAGCTTAGAGGACGCCAGGCAACAGGAAACAGTGTCAGCTGGCCTCCTCCTCTGCCCTCTGCCTGGGACCCCTTATTTCAGCTCTGTCCCCTTGAAAGCCTGTGCACACCCTTGTCCCTTGACGGGCGATGGCACCGTGTGCCCTGCGCTAAGCCGCACGCCCCCTCCCGCGTCCTCAGTCCCTCCCGGGGCTGCCTCCCCGCTGATCCTCCCTTCTCCTCTGCAGCTTGGTCCGCGTCTCCTCCTGCCGGCGCCTCCAGGCCTCGATGACGGCTTCGTCGTCCATTTCTTCCTCCTCCTCCCTGTCCGTGCTCCGCCGGTACCGGGCCCGCCGTCCCGATGCGAACCTCCCTTCTTCTTTGCTTTCCGTCCTCTCTCTCTCTCCCTCCTCTTCGGACCTCATGAAGCTCTGTGTGAATTTCCTCTTGGCTCCAAACTCAGAGAAGTCTGCCCTGCATGACTCTTCCACGTCCTCCCAGTCCCTGGGCCTGGCCCAGGGTGGACGTCGGGGCTCAGGGGACTCCTCCCCCACCGAGGGCTCCGGGCTGGCCTCCCGCGAGCTCGAGGCCTCGCTGAACAGGGCCCTGGAGACCTGGCGGGTCTCCCTGGTCTCCCTGGTGGAGGAGGAAGAGACACGTGAGGTGCTCCTCACGGCGCCGCCATTGGCCGCCTGGTAGGTGTCCTGTTCCTCCGAATGCGACTTGGAGAACTTGTACTGGGAGGATTTAGACTCTGTCTCCCGGAGCAGGGAAGACCTGGTGTGCTTCCCCCGGGAGCTTCCAGACCAGTCGCTTTGGGGAGGAGACTGTCCCTCTGTCCCGAGGCCACTGAGCCACTTAGCGACACTGCTGTCCCTCTCGCGGCCGGCCCCGCTGCCACTGCCGTAGCGATCGGAGGCGTCCAGGGAGGAGCTGGCGTCTGTGTCCGGTTTCTGGGAGTCGCCGCGGGAAGAGTACCGGAAGCTGCCTATGGCGCTGTCCACGTCCTCGTCTCTCTCACCCGCATCCCCATCCTCCTCTTCCCGGGCCTTCTTCTTCTTCTTGAAGAGGCTGCTGCGTTTGTGGTCGCAGGCCAGCTTCTCCATCTTGTACTCAGACATCTTCTCCCTCAGCTCCATCTGCATCTCCCTCTCCTTCTGGCCAAGCTCCTTCAGGTTGACGTGGTCGGCAAAGAGGCTGTACGTAGGCTTGCTGGTCCCCCTCGCCCTGCTGCCCGTGCCTTCGGTGCCGCAGCTCAGGGCGCTGTGGCCGGACAGCACGGACTGCATGTCGGGACCGGGCCTTGCCTGGCCCTGAGGCGGGAGGCCCAGGGCGGGGGCGCTCTGTGCACTGAGCACAGACGCCTGGTCGTCCGCCGGGCAGCCGGCTGCGGGGGCCACCTTCACGCCGGCCGCGGACGGGGTGCGGGACAGAAGCAGCAGTTCATTTTGCTTCTGGGCGAGAGTTTCGCTGACTACATTGGCAATCCAGTTCTGGATACTGGCGATGGAAATGGTGTCGCCGGGCCCCACGGGCAGGTTAGGCAGAGGGGTGTTGGGGGCGGGGGCCAGGCATCCGCCTGCGCTGCTTACGGCCTGAGACAGGTGGGAGCTGAGGCTCTGGCTGCTAAGCACGGATGCCGTGTCCCCATCAGCACTGACCGAGGGGGCCGCAAACCAGAAGGCAGACAGGGGCACGCTCCCTGCGGCCGCCGAGCCGGGGGCCTCCCCGCTGCCCAGGGACTGGCTCTCCTCCAGCGTCTGCCTGCTCCTCTCCAGCAGCTCCAGCCTCCGCTGCCTCTTCTTGGCCAGCAGGGAAGCCTCCCCCTGGCTGAGCTCCGCCACCTCCTCCTTGTTCTCGCTGCCCACCTTCTTCTGGTGCTTCAGCTTCCAGGCCTGGTAGGCCGTCAGGTTGACGTCGGAGCCGCGCTTCTCCCGCTCGGCCTCCTCGGCGCTGTGCTCGCTGCTGCCATCTCCTGCCTCTGAGTCCCTCTTGTGAAACCCAAACTGGATCCTCTTGACCTTCCACCTTTCCAGGGCAGTGAGCTTGTCCTTGTTCCTGCTGCAGAAGTTATAGAAGGAGCTGGCCTCGGACAGCACGCTCTCCTCATCGTCTTCTCGTGCCCTGCTGCCCGCCTCCGAGCTGGCGTCCTCCGCCTCCTCCTCTCTCCTGCTCCGGGAGCGGTACCTCTGGGACGCCTCCTTCTCAATCTGCAGCAGCCTCTCGTTCCACATGTCCCAGGTGCTCTCCGTGGACGTAGAGTCGGAGCGGCGTCTGCCACCCCGGTTCTGGCTGCCGCCCTCCAGCCGCTGCGTCAGGACCCGCCTGGCTCGGCTGCTCACGCTCTCTGAGGCGCTGCTCTCGCTCAAGGTGAGCCTGCGCCTGCTGCCCGCCCAGGAGCCGGCCTCTGCCCCGTCTGCCTCCTCTTCCTCTTCCTCCCGCTCCCACCTCCGGTGCCCTTCTGCCTGGCACCTCTCGTTTCGGCTCTGCCACTCCCGGATGATCCTCTCCACGTCCTCGTCCTCCGGCTCCTCCCCGCCCTGGGCTGAGCGCCCGCCATCCCCGCCCCGGGGGGCCGAGCCCGTGGGGAGCCCCTGCTCCCTCTTCCACTGCTCGTAGAGTTTCTCCTCCTCCTCTTCGTCGATGAGGGGGCGGGGCCTGGAGGCCAGGCTGGCCTTCCCCAGGGAGGAGCCGCTCAGGTGGCTGGTGGCGTCGTCCTCCTCCTCCTCCACGGTGAGGCGGTGCACCCTGGCCCCGCCCGAGCCCCCCACGCGATCGCCCTCCACGCCCCGCTCCTGGCCCCAGTCCTCCTCTCTCTCCTCCATCAGCTTCTCGTTGAGCTGCCGGAGCTGCCTCAGGAAGCCGTCGTTGGGGTAGATGGCCCGCTTCTTCCGCACGGTCATCAAGGCCTCGAGGAGGGCCATGTGGTGGAAGATCATCAGGTAGGCCACCACGAGCACCGCCGAGCGGCTGACGCCCATCTCGCTGCTGACCAGGACTTTCCCTGCCGAGAGAACACGCGTCATAATGCGGCAATGACAGGCACCCTCCTCATGAGCCCTCTTTCGCCGGCTGTGCGGGGCTTCATGTGTTTACGGGGCCTCCGGCCTCCGTCCACGCCCACGCCCGTCACCGCCCCGCGCTGCAGATGCCGGACAGCGGCGGGGCGCCCTGTGCCCACGGCACGCTTCCTGCGCTGCGGGAGGCGGGGTGGCCGTCGGGGGGCGGCGGACCTCTGTCCCCACTTTGGGAACACTGGCATGCGTGCACCCCTTGCTTCTCCCTGCCAACCTGGGCTTCAGAAGGAGGAGAAATAAAAGAATGGGGGGTAGGGGGAGAGGGAAAAACAATGAGGCCAACGTGCGTGAATGACAGAGACGTGGAACCTCGATGCTGGAAGACGCCAAAAATCCCAGGCGGAACCTGAGAGTCCCCTTTGCCCCGCCCTTGGGGCTGGACCCCCCTCACGCGGGCCCTGCTGTGTGTTTCCCGTGACCGGGAGCTCCGCACGTCACACGCCACACACACCGCACAGCACACACTCACGTGCACACACGCACCGCACACACTCTCACACACTCGCCTCACTCTGTGTATTTACTTAGATCCCTCTGATCTTTTGAAAACCCCTTCACGCGCGAGGACGGAGCATCACTCTGTGTGACGGGCGCCCTCCGACACTCGGGGGTCAAAGGGGACACATCTGTGTGATCCAGGCCTTTCGCATGAAACCTTCAAGAAGATCAGTATCATACTCTTTGCTAAACTTCATTTTCATTTTCCTGGCTATTCTGAGTCTTCCAGTCAATATTCAAACACCCTTTCATGTTCTCATACGCACGTTTTAACACTTGAATCCTCACAGCAACTTTAGGAGGGTTTGGCCTCTAGACAAGGCCCCTGGGGTCCAGGGCACGGCCGGAGTCCCGTGGGACAGAGGGCACAGCGCGCCGGACTCCCAGGGCCCCGCGCGCCCGCCCTGAGCCCCCCGCCCCCCCCCCCCCGCGCCTGGTGCCCGCAGCGTCCCGGCGGCGCCGTCCGCAGGCGCGGCTCCCGCCGCCTCCCGCCGGGGCCCCAGCGCTGCCCGCCTCCCGCTCTCGCCTCCCAGCCGGCGGCCCCCCACCCCCGGAGTTGAAGAGGTGAGATTTGTCGATGTGCCTTCACAATCCCTGGCCGTGGCCTTCACCTTTGGGCAGGACGGGCCCCACTCCCTCCCCCACCTGGAGGGCTCGGCCAGGCCCACGCGCACTCCTGGGCATACCTCCCCCGCGGGACCCTCGCTCTGCGCCCCCTGGCCAGGCTCGCCCTGCTCCCGCTTTTCCCACGGCTCACTCCTCCCCGCCACTCAGCTCACGCCTCCCCCTCAACCTGCCACGGGTGCCAGTCTGTCTGTCGCTCTAGCACGTCACCCAGGCACGATCTCTGCCTCACGCGAGGATCTCACGCTCTCCTTTCTCTTTTCCTCTCCCTGTCTCCACTTTCACCGCCACGGGAGGGGCAAAGGCCGGACGCTCCGCGGGTGTCCCCACCCCTGGGCCGGGAACACCCGCCGGCCCGGCCAGCTCCTCAGTCAGCACCTCCCGCACGCTCGACGGCCCTTTCTTGCCCCCTCTTCTTACGACGGGACAGCAACCTTCTTAGGACGGGGGGCCCGGACGGGGGTGCCTGGACAGCGGTCTTCCCCACACGCCCACCTTGCTTCTGCCGTCACCGGGCCGGGGGTCTGGCCGCCCGGCGCAGGCGGCCCTGCACCCCCCTCACCTCGGTAGGTCAGCAGCGCTTCGTCCAGGAACTCGGCGGCCTTCCGGAAGTGCCGGGAGATGTCCACCTCGGGGAAGTCGTCCACCTCCAGCCCCAGGTACTGGACGTCCAGGCCCGAGTAGAACTCGGGTCCCGTGTACACGCCGGCGCCGTGCGCGGCGTTCAGGATGTGGGTGACTCCCAGCCTCTTCAGCCTGCTCTTGTTCACAGCCACGCTCCTGAGGACAAAGCAGCGGGACGGTTTTTGTTCTCGTTGTTTTCATTTTAATCTTGATTTTAAGTTTCATCCGGGGAGTCTGCTCGGCCGGGCCATGGGCCACAGCGGCGAGGGCCCCTCCCCGGCTCCCCCAGGCGCCCGGGCTCTCCGCAAGGACGGGCATAGAAAGGGGCAAGCGGCTTGGTCCCTGTAAAGGGGAGGGGACGCGGGAGCTGGCCGAGGAGGGCAGGGTGAGGACAGAGCAAGACGGATGCGGGGGGAAGCCCCTGTGTGGGCCAGCGCTCTCTAGGCCAAAATCCCGGGCCGCGGGGAGACAGTCCCCAAGACGGTAAGGGGCAGACAGAGGCAGTAATGCCGTGAGGCGTGTTTCACGGCGATCCAGAGCGCTCTGTTTCTCGAACTCCTTTCACATGCCTTATTTTATTTTGTCCTAATAATACACGGATGGGGTAGATGGGGAAACTATTTCTAGTCCTGCCTGAAGGTTATAAAATGGACCAGAGAGCTCCTGTGACTTCTGAGGCTGAGCGGAGAGGGAGACCACGGGCCCAGGGCGGGGCTGCAGGGTGGGACCACAGCCTGAGGCGGCCCCGAGGACAGGGTGGCCCAAGACAGAGCAGAGGCCTCTGGCCGGGGCCACCCGCAGGTGCCTGGCGTCCCTGCTGCCCTCAGCATCGGTGTGTCTGGGCCCACAGAGCTAATTACTGGTCCCCCAGGCTTGGCACCCGGCTCTGGGCACCTGGTTCTGGGCAGCAGATCACTCCACGGTGCGGAACGAGACCCCACGTCCACAGCGAGCTTCCTTACTGTCCCCTGGGGCCTCAGGTCCCCTCCTCTGCTCCTAGAGAGATGGCTAATTCACGGGAAGAACCTCTCATGAAGGAGTCGATGGATCACCTGGAATTGGGTCCACACACCAGCCTTTGGCTCCCCTCAAGCCCTGGCCAGACCCCGGAGGAATGGCACGTGAGGCGGTTGCTTTGGGGTTTGTTCTGGAAACCTCTGGCAAACTTCTTAAAATAACATTTTCCCCTGATTATAACAACAATAAGTGTTTACTCTAGGAAATCTGTACATTTCAAAAGAAACCCAAAGAAGAAAATAAAAATCAGGTGCAGAACGGCCTCCTGGAGAGGAGCACTATTAACATTGTATCCCATCTGGTCCCACCTTGTTGTCTCTGCAGAAGCTACCCCGCCCCCCCCACATCCGTGTATGACTCAGCATCCTCCGGTGTCTACACTGTCTGGTAGCCTAATGCTCCTCTTTCTACATCGTGAACAGTTTCATCTGTTGGTAAATACATGTCAAAATCACTATCATCGGTAGTTCTGCAAGTGGCCTCACACGGCTGTTACAGGTGTTGGGGACGATGGTGACAGTGGGGTTGTGTTGGCAAGGCTCCGGGCGGGAAGGAGGCCGAGAAGGCACCTGGAGGGGCCAGGCTGTGACGGAGAGCCCGGGGCGGGGGCGGGGGGGGGCACATGTAACCGAGCCAGCGTCTCGCCCCGCCGACCAGGGGCGAGGGGCCCTCGGCCTGCGGGCAGGGGCGCGGGGCCTTCTTGCCGACGGGGGCCAGGCGGGTGCCAGGGAACAATGGTTTTCTGGATGGAGCCCTTGGGGCCTTGGGCGAACACTGGGGGACCCCCACGGGGCTCGGGCGCCCCCCAGGGGGCAAGGACACAGGGCCAGGCCCAGCAGCCAGACTCACTTCTCCGCTATGAAGATGCCGGGCCAGACCTCGTCCACCTCGTTCCAGGGGGCCTCCTGGCGGTCGCGGACCAAGGCCCGCTGCAGGTCCAGGACGCAGGGCGTGTTGTACAGGCTGCCGTCGTCCATCTTCTCCCGCACGCGCTGGTACAGGTCCTCCACCAGCAGCTGCTCGGCCGACTCCAGCAGGCCCAGGCACTCGGCCGCGGCCCTGGGCCCCCGCGGCTTCAGCTCTGGAGGGCAGGCAGCGTCCCTGTCAGCACAGGGCATGAGGCCTCCCCGCCCCTGGGGACAGCCTGCTCTGGGCCAGCTTGCTGCCCAGGCTCTGGGCACGGGCTGAAATGCCCGCAGAGTCTGCGGCAGGGCTCCAGGGGGCCCAGGGCCTGCCCGGCCCGGACCCGTGCGGTCCCCACCGGCGGCCGGTGAGGGGAAGGGACACCGGCTTCCCTCACGCCCCCAGAGTTCCCTAAAGCCGCTGGCGATTTCTTAGACCCAGGTCCTTGGCCTAGGTCTGAGTCACACTCACGCCTCCCACAGCGGCCCCTGCAAAGCAGAAGCCTCTGCCAAATGAACGAACAGCATCTCTCGAACAGTCCCCCCTGTGGCTGGCCTGACCCCTTTTCTTGTGAAACGCAGCCGCTCTGGGAGAGGGGACCCTGCGGCGGTCATTTCTGCTCAGTCACGTGCGGTGTACTCCGGGTACTGTCTGCTCCCCGCCGGGCGCCCGCATCTGAGCCTCTCTGGCCCGGGCCTCGGCCGGCAGCCGGCAGCCGCTGGCCAGGAGCTCCGCTGCCAGGCTCAGAACAGCACCTGGGCCGGAGAGGCTCAGGCTCCACAGAAAACCGAGTCCCGGTCACGCCCTCTCCCGCGCGCTTGGCCTCCTCCTCCTGTCCCATAGCCCCCAGTTCACCTAACCAGGTCCCCCGCCTGGCCTCTGACAGCAGTACCTTCTCGGATGATGCGTTTGGCCGCCAGGGCCGAGGACAGGTGGATGGGCTCCATGAAGATGCTTTCGGTTTCCGCCTCCGAGACCACAGAGCACCTGAGAAAAGAGGGGGTGCCCGTGAAGTGGCTCTGAGAGGGAGGGGCCCTTCTTACGCGGGAAGCCCAATCTGGTCTCAGCCCCCATGGGTGACGACGAGGCGCAGAGGGCGCGGAGTCCTGGGCCCTGGGGAGCCCGAGCGGGCGGCAGGCTGGGTGGGTGGGGCTCAGCAGCCCAGCTGCCTCCAGACCGGACCTGGCGTCTGCGCGCGCTGACGCTTAGCAACGTGGCTGTCGAGGCTGCGGAAGGCATGTCTCTGGCTGGGGGGACCCCTCTGACGGGGCTTGGCTGTCCCTCCTGTGTTCCCACCCTTGGATGTCCTGCTGCTCCAGTTTTCCTCTTGTCCCCGGCTCCTCTGTCACCAACTCCGAGGCTGTGCCTGCCGGTGCCCCTCCCAGGGCTCCGCTGGACCGGAGGCTGGGTGTCCCCTGGCCTGTCCCTGCTTGTGAGGCAGGGGCTGAGAACAGAGGACTGGCACGTCCCCGGAGCAACGGGCAGGGGTGCTGCGGGGCGCAGTCCTGACTCTGGGCGCCAACCTCGAGGGCCAGCCTGGGCCGGGGTGCGACGGAGCAGCTGAGGGGACTGGTGGGACCGTTTCCCAGCAGAGACGACCCAGGGGCCCTTGGGAGAGCCGGGTGGGTCAGGGCAGAGCAGCGTGAGGACCACACTCCAGTGGTGGGTGTCCCCCCTCCTGGGGGGCCCTCTTTTCCAGGGTTGGGTGAGCTTGGGGCCTTGTCCTGCCCAGGGTTTCCTTGGTCCAGCGAGGTTAAACAAAGTGAGAGGGATTAAGGGACACCATCTTTTCCCTGTTGCAGCCCTGCCCTCATTCTGCCCCTTCAGAACCAGCCCCTCCCTGCCTCTCATCCGGAGCCGCCACCGACCGGTCTGCTTCAGGTCCCCGTGGGGCACGTGACCTTTCCCAGGATGTTATATAAATGGCGTCGGAGAGAAATGGAATCTTTTGGGGGTGGCTTATTTCACTCAGCAAAACGCATCCAAGAATCACCCATTCTATGGCATGAATCAATAACGTGTTTCTTTTTACTGCCTGATAACGTTTTATTATTTAAGCACCTCCGGCTGTCTCGGCCACCGCCATCCCGCCCCCAGGAGCCGAGGTCCAGTGCCCCGGGAGCAAACGTCCCCCGCCTCCGGCGCGGCGGTCCTCTGGGCTCGGCCCTCCGTCCCCAGCCTGCCTGTTCCTGCTGACCCTCTGCGGCCCCGGAGCCCCTGCCGCGGCACCCTGCCCGGGGGTGACGAGGCGTCTGCGGGGCCATGCCGGTGGGGGGGCGCCTTCACGTCGCCCAGAGCCGGGAGCCCTGTCCCTTGTCTTCTTGCTTGTAAACGTCTAACGTGAACGTGTTTCCCGGTCTTTGTTTGCTGACCCGTTTTGTTGCTGGAAACCCACAGGGCTTAGTTTTCGTCGCCAGTGTTTAGAAGTTTGTGCGTGGCATTCTCTGGTGTCCTTTCATCCGCTGTGTTGGGAATGGACACGGTTTCGACCGCCCGCCCATGAATCTGGCTCTGGCACGACCCCCAGAAACAGGTGTTACCATCCTGCTCTGAGCGGGGAAACCTGCAGCTCCAAGGGGCGGCGGCCCGGGGCGGAGGCGGCTGGGCTCGGTCATGAACACAAGGGGGCGCCGCTCTGCATCCGCTCCTCTCTCCGCAGGACGCGCTGGTGCCATGTGGACTGGGCAGGGGAGGGGAGCCAGCTGGTGGAAGCAACCTCAGCTGGGCCCCCTATTCCAACACCGGCTTTGGCTCAGGGAAGCATCTAAAAGATACATGGTGACGCCATGGACGGGTGCACGGACGGACAGAGGCACGGACGGGTGTATGGACGGGCAGGCGGGCGCAGCGGGCGGCTCGGAGCTGCGTGCAGCTGAGCGGGACAGCGCGGACCCGAGCTGCAGGAGCCGAGGAGCCGTCACGGCTGTTCCTGAGGTCCCTCCCCCACTTGGCCTCGCTCCCTGAGGCGTGGGGCTCGTGGCTTCGTGGCCCCCAGGGCCCTTCCTGCCCGGGCACCTGGCAGAGGCCGTTTCCAGTGCCTGGACACCCGGCGCCCGCGTCTTCACACCCTTTCATCTCGGGTCACCGGCGCCTGGCCCTCCACCTCGGGCACCTCTCTCGGGGGCCTGCCAACGTTTCCCGTGAAACCGCCTGGTCAGGGCCGGGCTCCTGGGCGACCTTCAGCCCCGCCCCCGCGAGGCAGGACCACGGCTGGGCCTCCTGAGGACTGGGGGGCTCCCAGCGGCGCCACGAGGCCTGACGCAGAGTGAGAACTTCAGAGGCGTTTTCTGACCCCCTGACTGCCACAGCAGCGGGGGCAAGGGCCGGGGGCCGTCGCAACGATGAGCAACGAGTGTTCAGCAAGCCCGCGCTCTGGCTCATCACGTCTCTGGGATCCGGGGGCCACGCGGGGCCCTGGCGCGGGCCTGTTCCCGCTCACTCTGCCCTCCCGAGGCCAGAACGTGCATGTCCTCGGAGCCCGTGCAGACGGCACTTTCTTCTTCCAGGGGATTAGAGTGGCCCCTGGCTTGCGACCCGCCTCACTTGGCGGGAGGTTGGTTCGTTCCCCTTGAACCTGGGCGGTCTCTTGACTGCTTCCACCGCTAGAATATTCTGGAAGCAGCACTGTGCCAGCACCTGAGCCCGGGCTGAAGGGCAGCCCCCCTCGCCGGCTCCCGTTGTTCTCTCTGGAAGCCCCGAGCTGCTTTATCAGAAGTCTGGCCACCGCGCTGGAAAGGCTCTTGGTCAACAGTCGCTGCCGGGCTCCCAGCCAAGAGCCGCCGCGTGGATGGGCCTCCGAGCCATGGCACCTGCACCTGCACCCCCACCCCCAGCTGACACCACGAGGAACAGACACGCTGCCCAGCCATGCCCGCGTCCGGGAAAAAAACAAAGAAAAGTAAAGAACACCGCCATCCATTGAAAGGGTGCATATCATTTGGTGGAAGCTCCTGAGAGTGTGCGCATCCCTGCGGACGTGCGCTGCGCTGGCTGAGATGTAAGCGCTGCGCCCGCTGCGTTGCAATCAGCACAGTCGGAAAGCCACCGCGATAAACCATCGACGGCTGCCAGGCACAGAACGAAGTGGAGCTGGGATCCTTCCAGCCAGTCCCCGACAGCCGGCCACCTCCTTTCCAGGAGCCCCTGGAAGTGAAATGGGGGCAGAGGCCCAGGCAGGGGTATCTTTCCTGACTTGGCTTTGCAGAAAAGGAATAGGTTTTTCTGAGCTCCCTCTGAGTGCTCATTCCCCTCAGAGAAGAGTGACTGCGCCGGCGAAGCTCAGGCTCCCAGGAAGGAGAGAAGGCAGGAGGCTGAAGCAAATCGATTTCTAGCCAGCGGCGCCTGGCAGGCTTTGAGAAAGAGCAGAGGTGAAAAGTCGCCGTGGGAAAAGGAATAGAAAAGAGAAAGGAGGCACTGGAGGAACCGTTCCCTGAGGACCCCGGGTCTGATGCTCCGGGCTGGCAGCCCGCCCACCACACCTGGCACGCGGACTTCCCCGTGGGAGCGGCCGGCAGGGCGCAGCTCAGAAACGTCACCGGCCACTGGCAGCGGGCGGGAAATCCTCCACAAGAGACAGCCTGATCAGATCCCCAAGGATTCTAAAACACGGCAAAGGCTTGAAAAATTCAGACCCCAAAAGCCAAAGCAAGAAGAGGATTTCAACGTGGCAAGAAATAAAGGGAAACAGAAAAGATCAGCCCTTCCCCGGCCAACAACCTGAGCTGCTCGATCACACCGGAGTGCCAGGCACTTAACAAAGCGCCGGTGCCCGAGGGCAGTCACCAAAAACACATGCACAGGCATGACATAGCCAGCCCACTGTTAACTGGACCATTCTTCCTGTTGTTTACACGCTCTGTGTCCTCAACCCCTGGGGGACACGCATAGGTTCTTATTTCTGTCAGCCATGAGCCTGCTGGGTCACAGGGCTAGTTTTGGTCGATTCTATGAACTAGTTTTCCGGATGAACACACTTAGAGCGACGAGCGCAGGTCCGACTGCTTCAGTCCCTCGTTGACAGTGGCTGTCGGTGGACTTGAATTTTGGGTGTGTGGTGAGTGAGTGGTAACCCTGAGGTGTAATTTTAATTTGAATTTCTATCATCTGTGTTTTGTTTTTATTGCTTTCCAGCTTAAGTCTCAAATGGTCAGGAAACATGCTGTGTATAATTTTAAGCGTTAAAAAGGTGTCGATGTAGGTAACGCCCAGGATATGCCCTGCTTCGGTAAACCTGCCACGTGCGCGTGGTAAAGATGCATGTCCTGCGATGTTGGTTACGTGGCCTATACATGCCAGCTAGATTACTTTTGTCTATTGTTTTGTTCACACCTCCTATCGATATTTTTTTAAATTTATTTTTCAATTACAGTCGACATACACTATTCCATTAGTTTCAGGTGTCCAACGCCGCGACCAGACATTCGTGTACCCGGCCGCGTGCTCTCTCCAGTAAGTCTGGCACCCGCCCGGCACCATAAAGAATGATCACAATACTATCGACTGTATCCCCTCTGCTGTACCTTATATCCCGTGGCTATTAATTGCCAGTTATACAACTTCCCATATTCAGAAAAAAACTTCCCATACTCTTAATAATTTTTTCGCCTCGTTCTATCAGTTGCTGAGATTGTCTTGTAGAAGATCCACATTTGACTAAGATGGTAAATTTTCATTTTTTACTTAGTTCCATCAGTCTTCTGCTTTCTACAGTTGGAGGCTCCATCATTCGCTCACAGGAATCTAAAACGTCTCTCCCTGGGGCACCGAACCCGCGGCTGGTCGGCTGGTCGGCTGGTCGGCTGGTCGGCTGGTCGCAGTGCTTCCCCTTTGTCTGGCGGCGGGGGGGTGGGGGTGGGGGGGTGGGGGGTGGGGGCGGGCACTAATTTTAGAAGTCACGCCATGAAAGGGAGGGCCTTCAAGAAGAAAAGGAGCCTCCGTTCCTGAGTCGCGGCTCAGGTCCCTGTTCGGGAAGTTTCTGAGTGCGGAAGAAATGTGCCTTCGCTGTGGCAGCTGGCGTGACCCTAACAACAATGCCCGCCGTCACCCGCCTGCCCGGCTGCCTGGCCGCCCGGCCGCCTCTGCCAGGCCTGTAGGCGGGGCAGACACCTTAAATCTCTCGATCCTGGTAGTTCTTCTAAGCAGGAGCCCAAGGCTGGATTTCAAAGCACAAGTCCCCAAGCTCCACTGGGACAGGTGCGCGGCTCCGAGAGTGGCGCGCGCCCGCCCTCCTGCCCGTCCCAGGCCGGCGGGGAAGCCCCCAGCCCTGAGGAGCAGGCGCCCGCAGGACCCCAGGAGAACGGAGGGGAAGGAAGCCGATGCACAAGCACTTCAAGGTCAAGCCACCTGGAGGCGCTCTAGCAGGGTCTCTCCTTCCCGTTACAGACAAGACGGCACAGGCTCAAGAGTCAAAGTGACTCTTCGCCTAAGTTTGGTGGCAGAGCTCAGATTAGAGGTCAGGCCCCTGCTACTGTTTGTGGCGGAAGCAAATAGGCACACACAGGATTGCTAAGCAGGCAGCGAGCATGTCTTCACTGCTGGTGGCCTTCCTTCCTGCCTGCCTTCCTTCGTCCCTCCCTCCCGTCCTCCCTCCCTCCTCACCCAAGGACTTGAGAGAGAAAAACATCCATTGCTTGCCTCCCACACACACCCCGACCCGGGATTGAACCCACAACCTTTCGGATGATGCTCCAACCAACACAGACACACTGGCCAGGACTCAGGGTTTTTCTGAAAACTTCAGGAAATTTTTCACTCTACACCATAACCCATTGTCAATGATTTTATGTAAAAGAAGGTGTTACATTGTCATAAAATAACGGGGACTCTCCAGGAAGCCACTCCAGGTTTAGTACCCTGGGCGCGCGGCCCCCTGCCCCCAGGCACGCGCACGTCCCGGTTGGAAGGACGCTGCCTGGCCACAGACCAAAGCGTCTCGGTGCTTGGGCCCGGTGGCAGGGCCTCTCCCTGCCCGGCAGCCCTGCTCCTACAGTGTGTGGCCGCCACCCTCTGGCACACCCGTCAGACTCCTGCTCGCCCTTCACGGTTCAGGTCCAGCGTCACCGCCTCCAGGAAGCCCACCTGTGCCCCTTCAAGTCCATTTGCCCCTGCCCCCGGCCCACCAGACACTGGACCCCAGGCACAGGTTCGAACACCGCAAACACCCCAGTACGGTCTGCCGGGATGTCCCCTCTCCAGAAAGGGCGACATGCAGAAAGGACTCCACGATGCCTGTGGAATCAATGGACTTAGGGGGGGCGGCTGTAGGCTCCCTGGCCCCCCCCACCCCGCCCCCACAGCTCACTGACCGGCTGGGCGAGGGGCTGCGGAGGTACCGGGCCTGCACCGCCCGCACGTCCGCTCCATCCTCTTCACTCGGGACGACCTGCTCCTCCTCCGGGTCCCCGCTGGTCGCCATGGGGCCAGTCAGTCTCTGTAAGTTTGGCATGAAAAAGGCAGCTCAGGAACTGGGGCTGGAAAGCGCGTGCCAGCAACGTCCCTTCAGGGGGCCTGGGAAGGGAAGGTCGCCCCACGCCAACACCCTCCTGGGGATAAGACCGTGGGGGAAACCAAGTCACACTTGGCCCAGCCTCGTCACCAGGACAAGAAGACGCACGGCCTGGCCGAGCGAAGAGCCCACCTCGGAGTCGTGAGATTTAAGCAGGGACAGCTTGGCCCCTTCCGCAGACGGCAGCAAGCGCACGGCGGGGGGGCCCGGGGGGGGATGCGGTGAGGCCTTTCTGCTGCAACGCCAGCACACTCGCCTGCCCGCTCCCCCGCAGCCGGGGACCCACCCGGCCGGCCGTGACACCCAGGACAGAGCTGTGCCCTCGGCTTCCTGCGCTGGCGCCCGGGCCTGCAGGACAAACGGAGAGAGAAGCCCACTCACCCCGGAACCGCGGAACTGCCGAGTCTCCAAGCCAAGAGGCAGCCTCCCCCTCCCCCGACCGAGGGGCCTGGTTGAAAGGCCGCCCCAGGAGGGGCCAGCTCTGTCCCCTCAGGCCTCTGCCCTGAGCGGCAGGACAGCTGTGAACTGGAAACCTTAGCCGCCTTCTAAGTTTAGCCTCGGGCCCACAGCCGGCATATCTCTGGGAGGGAGGAATGCGGGCCCTACTTAACCCTTTCCCTCCGGGCCAGCGCTCCAGACAGACGCTGAGCGGCCCCGCGGGGAAGCCCGCGCTCTGCGGGTGGGGAGGCCTAAAGGAGCGCTTTTGGGGGCCCTCTCTCCGCACCTCCCACCGGGGCCGCCTCGGCAAGGCTCAGAGGAATGAGACCGGCTGCACCGCAGCGCACGTCAGCTGAGAGGGGCCGGGAAAAGACACCTGTCGCGCAGAGCGGGGCGGGGGGCACCAGAGGCCACTGCAAGGAAGGCAGAGCTCGTGAGCAAGTCCCAGTGCTGTCAACACGGACGGCCCTGGAGCGGAAGCTGGGCAGTGGAGCTCCCCTCCAAAATGCACCCCCACGCTCACACCCTCAGTGGCGGTGAGCTGACAACCGGGATGATGGAAAAATTCCGTAAGCTGCAAAAACTTCAAATGACCTCACGGGCCTTCCTGCACCATGACCCCACCTCCTACCGTCACTGTGGTCAAAGCAAAGCCCCATAACCCAATAACTCACCCCCTGCTCCCACACTTTCCCTGACTGCCCCTCCGTCTGTCCATCCACCCACCTACCCACCCGTCCGTCCACCCACCCATCCACTCATCCATCCATTCAGCCACCCACCCACCCACCCACCCACCCATCCACTCATCCATCCATCCACCCACCCACCCACCCACCCATTTGTCTACCCAATCATAGGTATCTGCTGATTATCTCCTATGTGTCAGACACTGTACTCGACCAAAGTTAGCAATGACTTAACAATCGCATGCCTAACATGGCCTTTTTCCTTGGCTAGGTGGAACGATCCCTGACACACACAATCACAAAAAAACTGGCTGAAAAAAAACGAATGCACACAGAGTTTATCAGGAAGCATGAGACGGGGGTCAAAAATAGCTCACGCGTCAGGCAGAGCGGCCTCAGGTCCCGAAGAGCAGCCCCCAGTGCGGCGTGAGGTGAAGGCAGGGAGACAGCCTCCGGCGGGGGAGGTCCAGCCCAGGAGAGGCGACATCCGAGCCGGCTCTCAAAGGACGACTTAGATTCCAACAGCAGACTGTGTGGGGAAAGGAATCCTGGAGCGGAGGGTGGGACCAGGCACCCGGCGGGCGTGTGCGACCCCGGGGTGCGAGGAGCGGCCCAGCTGGCCAGGGTACGAGCGACATATTTCAGGAGAGACGCGTTGGGAGGCCGGCCGCGTGTGAGGACAGCGCTGGCACAGAAACACACGGAAGGGCCGTGGAGGGAACCAGTCACCGCGGCCGCCCCTGCAAAGTGGGACCAGGGGCCTGGCAGACAGGACGGGGAGAGGACTTGCCTTCGCTCTGCACTGCCTTCAGCTTCTCTGGATTTTGTGTGCGCTCGGATGGATGCGTGGGAAAGGAAGTGCTTGCTGGGGTGGCAGGGGGCAGAGGGAGGGCCCCGAGCTGCTCCTCACGCAGCGCGCCCTCGAGCCGCCCCCTGCCCAGGTCCTTGCCACACCCGGTGCCCGGGGGGGGGCTCAATAGTCATTTTTTAGTAAATGCATTTCCTGGGGAACCCTCCCAAGGCAAATTACTAAGCGAAGCGTGGATACAGTCATTCAAAAATAAAAAGAGCCCTTCAAAGAAAGAGGCAACGAACGTGTACTCAGGGTCAGAAAGAACTGCCACCGGGACGCTCCGATTCCAAAGGGGAGGCTGGGCCGCGGGGCTTTCTGGGAAAGGGCAGGAGGCCAGGCGTCAGTGGAGGGAGGCATCCCCGTCGGTGAAGATAACGTCACCCGGTGAGATTCCTTCTGGGTGTGTTTTGAATTTCCGGTTGGCGCTCACAACTACGGCTTTCTTGCTACCTTCGCAGGCAGTTGTTTGGGACATATGGTTGTCCGAGGCCCTGTCCAAGGTCATTTTGCCCTGTTTTAATATCCAAATATTTGAGACATCAGACATGCAAGGCAGCTCCTCCCGGGCAGAAGCTTCGGTGCTATTTAGTGGCCCCGTTCATATCCTTCTTGTTAACAGTGGGAACAGGGCAGGGAGGGGCAGGGTGGGGCGGGGCGGGATGCGGGGCATCCAGCAGGGCCAGGCTGCGGGTGGCCGCCCAGCACAGGGAAGGGGTGGTGGAAGGGAGGTGGGGGGTGGGGGAGGCGGAGGGCTAACCCAACAGGAGAGGCATCTGATAAGGAGGGGACCACTCCGGAGGAGAGGGGACTGAGGCCCACCCCCGGACTGGCAGAGGGCGACCTGGGGACCACTGATGTGGGGCCAGGGGGAGCAGAAACGCAAGCCCTGGGGGAGCTCACTCGCTGTGGGAGCCCCGGCTCCTGGTGGTGAGGTGGGGCATCGCCCCGCACGTATCTCCATTCGCTCTGACCTCGCCCTCTAAAGAGGGGGCCCTCCCCCTGCCTGGGTGGGTCACGTTCTGCATTGCCCCCCAGGCTACGGACCGCCCCCCAGGACCCTTACTCTGTAGGCCAATGACCAGCCATCCCAGTTTGCTTGGGACGGAGAGGTCCAGCGTCCTGGGACTTTAAGGTTTACACCTGGGACGATTCCGAGCAAATGGACCCCAGGCCGTCACGGTCCCTCTAAGGCTGTGCGCTGTGGCTGCTGGTGCCCCGGCACCTCCTTGACCAGGTGGGCAGCTCTCGAGGGGACAGACCTTCTGTCCTCACATGGTAGAAGGGTTGAGGATCGGGGAGGAATTAGAGGAAGAGATCATATCGTGCCTGGTTCAGACTGCGGGCAACACCCATCTTTTATTAGTTTCTGGCCCTTCTCAGAGATAGTTTCCTATTTTGTTATGAGCAGCAGTTTCCTGTCCTTTGTAGGAGGAGCCTGTACCCGGTGAGAAGCCCAGGACTTTGTCCCTCTGACGAGTGGAGCAAAGGCAGGGGGAGATGGGGTCCGGGAGAAGGTGGGCAGGTCCTATTGGGGCCTTCGGTGGGGGAGGCACCGCTCAAGTCCCGTCCCAAGGCGAGCTCACCTGCCAGTCCAGGAGGGGGCGGGGCACGCGGGCCAGGCTGGCCCGTGGCGAACAGGGGGAGGAAACCCCAGGGAATTTCTGGGTCAGCCCGGAGGCTGGCGCAGCCCTAAGGAGCCAGCCCAAACCCGCCTGGGCGCCGCCAGTTCCAGGACGGGCCTGAGGCCTAGAGGAAGCAAGGCCATGGCGCGCAGGGCACAGCCCGTGCTGGGGGCGCTGTGTGCAGGTGAGTAGCCGCCTCCCCATCCCGGGCCCAGGGGCGGGGGATCTCCCACAGCATCCCCCCCAAGGGAGGGTCCTCCCGGGACACGGCTGAGCTCCTGCTGGACAGAACGACATTTTCTGTTGTTCAGGGGACAGGTTCCCATCCAGAACCCAGCATCGGAACAGCATTTCATTCACATACTAGTAAAATGCCAGCCTGTTCCAGAAGGAAGAATTCGTAAACTCCCGAAGACCATGTTTTCTGACCCCAAATCGGAACGTAGGTTCAGACATAAGATCCGACAGCTGGGACGATGTATTTGAAATTAAGTGGGTCCTGCAAAATCCAGGGTGCATGGATTTAGACGTGTTCCCCACCTGGGATTTTAACCTTTGCCTTAAAACCAGAGAAAGGTAATGTTAAGAGTGTTAACGCCTGTACCACATATAAGGAAACAGGCAGAAAGACACTTCAGTGCCCAACATCAGTCCTCGAGCAAGACTCAACCCGTCAACAACAAGAAGAAAGAACTAGACAAGCCCTTTCCAAAGGCCCAGCTCCTTGGCCTGCTGATACTCTGGCCACTGAAACTCGGAGGACAGGGAACCCCACAAAACTGAAATCAGACAGTCGCCGATGCCCCGCTAAGTCCAAGTCAAGCGCTAAATCGCCAGCTCTCCGCGTGGGACCCGCCGAGCTCCTAGGGTTAGGAGGGAAGGCTTGCAGGTAGGGTCCCAGGCACAGGAAGGAGGCTGGGGGCGAAGCTGAGAGACGGGCGTTGGGCACTTGGGGAGCAGATCCCGTGCCTGCAGCGTGTGTGGTACTGCTGAGCAATCCCGGTGCCTGTAGCCGAGAAGCTCCTGAGGCCCCAGGGACCTGGGAAGAAGGGAGAGAGAGAAGGGTGACCGCAGGGGTCCCCACAGGAGTCCCCAGCCTTAGCACGGGGGCCGCTGAGGCCGAGCCCGCCGTTCAGCCCGCCGCCCAGGGCTTCCTCCTGGCTCCCCGCCCCCGCCCTGGCTCCCCGGCCCCCATCTGTCAGCGGCCGGCGGCCGTGGGCCCGGGCTGGAGGGCAGCCTGGCGCCGGGGCAGGGCCGGGCACGGGCTCGGACACTGGTCGGGAGGAGACCGACTCGCTCAGGCCGGTGCCAGCCCCACCAGGTGGTCCAACTGGGGGCCACGGGGCCTGGTGACCAGGTTCTGGGCCTGCTGGTCCGTCCTGTTCTCTGACAGCTCTTCACCGAGGGCGCAGTCTGGGCGGGCGCCACAAGGGCGAGGGTGTGGAACGAGCGCAGGGGGCGGGGAGCCAGGAGGAAGCCCTGGGCGGCGGGCTGAACGGCGCCAGGGACTCCACTGAGCCCTCAGGTCCAGATGGGGAAGGAAGTGAGCATCCACCCCGGGCTGAGCCGCCCCGGACGCCTGCCTTCCCCTCTCCCACCCCCGCACTGGTAGCCCGGCTGCAGCCCACACGGGGGTAAAGAGAAAGGATTTTGGCTTAGGAAATGAACCCCAAAGGGAAGGGACGAAACGCCCACCCAGCTTAGAGTAAAAGCGGCCTTGGCCTTGCATGGCCAGCCTCCTCCTCGGGGCGGGCAGGCGGGCCCTGGGGGGCTCGGCCGCCGGAAGCAGTTCTCGGGCTTGTGGTGAGAGCAGTGTCTTCTGCTCCCACGCCCGCCCCTCCATCCGCCCCCCCCGCCGCCGCCCAGGCTAGAACTACATGCCCCCCAACTTTACCTCCCCCCGACCCTAGGGGAAGGGGTTGGGGCACAGGGTTAGAGGGACCCAGGCCTGGTGGTCAGCCTGAGCGTCAGGGCAGTTTGCTGAGTGGAAATATTTGGCGGAAAAATAGCCAAGGTCATGTGAAAGTGAGCAATGAAGGCCTTCAGAGGTCAGCCCTAAAAGCACCCAGGTGACCCTCCTCAGCATGCCTGCAGAGAGGACACCAGCAGAACGGGCTGGGACACAGGGAGGGCTTCCTGGAGGAGGTGGAGCTTGAGCTGGGCTCCAGGAGACCTCCCGGCCTCTGCCCCACTCCTCCCCGCCCCTGAACTGGCCGGGGCACGATGCAGACATTGTCGAGGTGCTGGGCTGAGCAGCACCGAGCTGGGGGGGACCAGCCCGGACCCCTCGGGCTTCGGGGGGTGCGGGAGAAGACATCCCGTGAGATAACATGGAGCGGATGCAGCGAAAGGCAGTGCGTGGGAGAATTTAAAAACGTTACTATGGGGCGTGCTGCATTTATTGATTTGCAGATGTGGTACCGGCCTTGCATTTCTGGAATAAAGCCCACTTGATCATGGTGTGTAATCTTTTGATGGGCTGCTGTATTTGGCTTGCTAATATTTGGTTGAGGACTTTAGCATCTGTGTTCATCAGGCATCTTGGCCTATAATTTCCATTCTTTGGAGTGCCTTTATCTGGTTTGGGAATCAGGATGATATTGGCCTCGTAAAACGGGCTTGGGAGTCGTCCCTCCTCTTGAACTTTGTGAGCTAGTTTGAGAAGGAGAGGTGTGTGTTCCTCTCAGAATGTTTGGTAAAATTCACCTGTGAAGCCATCTCATTTGGGGCTTTCGTTTTGGGGGAATTTTTTGATGACTCCTTCAATTTCATGAGGTGTAATCTGTCTAATGATATTCTCTGATTCTTCCTGGTTTAGTTTTGGAAGACTGTATATTGCTAGGAATTTATCCATTTCGTCTGCGTCGTCCAATTTGTTGGCATAGAGTTGTAACATTTCCCTACAATCCCTTGAATTTCCTTGGTGCCACGTGTTTCTCCTCGCTCATTCCTGACCCTGTTTCTTTGTGTCCTCTCTCTCTTTTTCTTGATGAGTCCGGTTAAGGTTTTGTCAGTCTTGTTTATCTTTTCAAAGAACCAGCTCTTGGATTCATTGATCTTCAGACTCCACTTCATTTATTTCTGCTCTGACCTTTACCATTTCCTTTCTCGTACTCACTTTGAGCTTTGTTTGTTGTTCTGTTTCAAGTTCCTGTAAGTGTGAAGTTCGCTTGTTTATTTGAGCTTTTTCTTGTTTCCTGAGAGAGGCTTGTGATGCTACGGATTTTCCCCGTAGGACGGCTTCCCAGTGTCCCGCTGATATTAGGTCATTGTGTCCTCATTTTCATTCATTTCAAGGTGTCTTTTGATTTCTTCCTTGATCTCATTGTTGGCCCAAATGCTGATTAATAACATGTTGTTTCGCTTCTATGTCTTTGTATGTTTTTTCTGTTTTCTTCTTGTGATTGACTTCTGGTCTCACAGCACTGTGGTCCGAGAAGATATTTGATGTGATTTCAATAGCAATATTTTATCTGATATATCTCCTCGGGCAAGGGGAACAAGAGAAAAAAATTAATAAATGGGACTATATTAAACTAAAAAGTTTTTGCACAACAAAGGAAAGCCAGCAACAAAGTAAAAAAAAAAAACAACCCACTGAATGGGAGAACATATTCGCCGATACATCTGATAAGGGGTAAATATCCACCATTTATTAAGAACTTATAAAACTCAACACCCAAAACCCCCACACAATCCAATTTAAAAAAATGAGCAAAAGACCTGAATAGACACTTCTCCAAAGAGGACATACATATGGCCAACAGACAGATGGAAAATGCCCAACATCACTACTCATCAGAAGAAGGCAAATTAAAACCGCAACGAGATACCAGCTCACACCTGCCAGAATGGCCCTCGCCAATACATCAGCAAACAAGTGCTGCCGAGGACGCGGACAAGGGCGAGCCCTCGTGCACCGTGGGCGGCGGCACCGCCTGGTGCAGCCGCTGTGCAAAGCAGCATGGAACTGCCTCAGAAACTTAGCTCGGGTGCCTCTTCGGCTGTGAGAAAGTGACCCAGGCGACCCCGGCATGCAGTTGGTTTCGGGGAGCACGCGGGACCTCGAGGCCGGCCCTCCGCGGGTGGCTGGCGGCTGGTGTCGCAGGCCCGCCTGCGTTAGGGACCGGGCCGGCGTCGTCCGACTGAAGGACTCAGCGCGCCGTGGGGACGGGCAGTGACGCGGGGGCAGGGAAGGGGCTGCGCTGGCGGTCGAGGGAGGCCGCTGCCGCCCCAGCCCTGGCAGCCCGGCTCCGTGGCCTCCTCTCCGCCTGCCGGGCCGGCTGTGCTCTCGGGTGCCCTGCCCAGGGCACCAGCCGTGCGCGGGGGAGCGGCTTCCGTCCCGAGTGCCTCCCTGCCCCCGCCACCCAGCGCCCTTTGAGCTGCTTTCGTGTTTTCTGCCCTGGTGAGTCAGGGGCGCCATAAACACCCGGCACAGCGGGGCGGCAGAGAGCCGCTCCCTCGCAGGGCTGTCACAAAGGTCACCGGAGACGGGCGTGACCTGCGGAGGGCAGCCCCCGCCCCTCTCTGCCCGCACCTGCCCACCGGCTTACGCAGTCGGCACGCGCGGGGCCAGGGCGCCGCTGCGGTGGGCCAGGCTCGCCCTCCAGCGCCCCCCCCCCCACCGCCCCACCCCGCCCCGCGGGTTGGGCGCTTTTTCCATCTGCCGCCTCCTCTATGTTCAGTCTCGTCCTTCAGGAGCTCCTGTCCCGTCCCGCAAGCCCGCTCCCGTCTCCCCGCCGTCTGTCCGGTGGGGACCAGAGGAGGCTTCTCAGGACGCGGGGCTGAGCCTGCTCCGGCCGCCCCGCCTCCCCGCGGTCGGCTGCGGCGCCCCCTGCTGGGCTCACAGACAGGCCGGCGCTGCGGCCCCGGGGCCCCCACGCTGCTTGCGGGCGTTTGGAAACGGCACACGCACGAGGAGGAAACCCCAAACCGCCCCACGACCCCAGAACCCAGGCGTGACTCGTCCTCCTGCACCCAGGCCCGCTTTCTGCAGGCACCTGTGTTCTCTCCCTAACGGCGGGGTGGGCGGTGGGGGGCCGCGGGGCCCGCCTTGCGCCCTCATCCGGCCCCTGGTGCACCCGGCCAACGCCCTGAGCTGAGTCGCTCGGGCCGTTCCGAGTCCCGCCCCTCAGGGCGCCCGCCCCTGGCCGTCCTGGTCCCACCCAGCCCCTGCCCTCTCCCCACTCATGTCATCCTGAACACTTGTGTTTAACACGCAACGAGGCTCCACGCGGAGGCTGGATGACAGCGACCTCCAACTGCTTCCGGGCAGGGACTGTGCCACGAGCCACTCAGTTGACAAGGTCGTATCAGCACCCAGCTCTGCACAGACACCTTGGGGCCGGACGCCGTCTGGCGAGGGGAGGGGCCCTGCACCCACCCTCCTCAACAGGAGCATAGTGTGCGTGGGGAAGGCACTGCCTGGCGTGGGTCTGAAAAGCCAGCGGAAAACCGAAAGGCCAACGGGAAAGCCACCGGCACCCCTGTGTTCAAGCAGCATTTCCACAACAGCCAAGATGTGGAAGCAACACGGGCCCATGGGGAGGTCAACGGATAAGGAAGGCGTGGCACGTGCGTGCGATGGAGTATTACTCAGCCATGAAAAAGAGCGGACTCTTGCCATTTGCAACGATGTGGCTGGGCCTCGAGGGCGTTGAGCGGGGTGGAGTAAGTCATATGGAGAAAGGCAAATACTGATTTCACTTACATGTGGACTCTAAACACACACACAGCCCCCAAACAAACAAACAAAACAGCCTCACAGAATCAGAGATCAGACTGACGGTAGCCAGAGGGGCGGGCATGGGCGGAGGGGTGAAAAGGTGAAGGGATCACAGTCAGCGATGTTGCGGTGACTGCAGGGTGACAGGTGGCTACTAGGTTTGCGGCAATGATCGCAGCGTAAAGCAGCAGCAAAGAAGTTTTTGAATTGCTACATTGTCCGCCTGAAACTAATGCAATAGTGCGTGAGAGCTACACTTAAATGAACTAATTGAACACACTGAAAGCCGGCGCGATGAAGGCCGGGACGCCGCGGACAGGCTTCCGAGGAGGCGAGGCATGCGCACGCCCGGGCGGCTCCGGAGCGTCGCCCTACGCTGGGGCCGTAGGGAAAAGCCATTGAATGGACCGGCATGGGTAGGTTCCTAAGGTCCGTGTTGAACGAGAAGTTCTACAAACACGCATTGACTTCTCACTCCTCCTCCCCCAGGCACCAGGCAGGGAGCTGCAGAGGCCACGGGCAGGGCGGGGGTCAGGACAAGCCCCCTGCAAGTGTGCAGGGCCCCCCGACCCCCACCGCTGCCGCAGACCCGCACTTTCTCAGCACCAGAGCACGTGTCTAGTCCAGGGGCAGGCGGCCCCTCTGGCGGGCAGCGTCCATCTCTGCCCTCACGGGGCCGCGGCTTCCCCGGCAGACGGGCTGCCTCAGCGGAGGCTGCACGGCCGGCTCCCCGGGCCCTGGATGGCGGAGCGCGCCTCCCGCCACGGGCCACCCAGCTTTCATTCTCCCCATGGATGCGCTGCTCTCCGGCCGGCTCTCGGGAGACGGCTCAGCATCTCCTTAACAAACCTCAATCATTCACAAGCGATCGTCTGGCTTCAGGCTGGGTCTCCGTGCCCGCGGGAGGTTGGCCGGCCTCTGGGTTTCCTGCAGGGGCACCGGGCAGACGGGCTTCCCCTCGCTGGGCTCCTGGAGTCTCCGCTGTTTGCTTTTTGGGCATTTCCTAGCAACCTATGGGATAGGCCCTTCAACCACCTGTCTCCGCTGGTCACCTGACCCGCATTTGACGCCTGAATTCTCTGTAATGCGTTCGTTTGCTGTCCGAGGGTGCCGATTAGAGCCGACGCGGGGCGGGAGGCACCTGGCGGAACCCCAGGGATGCGGCGACGAAGGAGCAGAGCGCAGCCGAGGAGGAGGCAGGGTCACGCAGGAGGCTGGCATGGTCCCTGGGCCGGGGAGGGCACGGACGCTAAGTACTCTAAGTCCTCGACCCTCCTGACAGCCTGAGTTAGAGAAGAAGAGTGAGGAAACTGAGGCCACGCCGCCACCCTCCCACCTTCAGGAGAAGTTCAGGCGCAGGGACCCACGGGCCGCGGCGCCACAAAGGACAGAGGCATGGACTCCGCCCGGGAGAGTTTGGACAGTTTCTCCAGGACAACGTTTGTGCCCAAAACATCTTCCTTCACAAAATGACAGTGGCATGGGGCGGTTTTGAGTCCTCCGTGCAGGCGAAAGTACCTGCTCGTCCAGCGTGTCCCACCCGCCCCCCGGGAGGTTGGCACTGGCCACAGAGGACTCCATGCTGGTCGCTGGCGTGAGGTCCCACACGAGGGACACATTCCCACCCAGGATTATGGAAAACGTAGGGAGCTTCGTGGCGCAGGACCCGCCTTCCAAGGGCCTTCTTGGACTTACACGCATCTGGGTTTGGGGCAGGGGTTCCTTTTCTCCCTGGGCTCTTTCTCATCTGCTCTTTTCGCCCTTTTCCCTCCCAAATCTAGGACCATACAATGATTTTAACGCGCCAGCGTGGGCGGCTCTTAGCCATTACTACTCCTTCCTGAGTTCTCCCGGGGGCCAGCGGGTTGTCGTTTGTGATTCACTTTTAACCAAGGACGGGTCTCAAGAACCATGGGACAGGGGAGCGGGGGCGCTGGGCGCTGGTGACGGGTTAGCGACCGCTCTCCGCCAAGGCACTTCCCACGCCACCCACTCACCACCCAGCCCACTTTCCCGGTGAGAACGCGGGCTCCGAGAGCTACAGGGGACGCCTTGGCATCCTGTGTTTAGTAAATAAGGATGCCCTAGTTAACCGTGTTGGCTGCCTCCTCAAATGGCCACAGCGAAGCTATGTGTTGCACGCGGAGGCGCGCAGACACATCAGTGGAAGTATCAAAGGGACGTCTCCACGTTGAAGGGGGGCGGGGGCGGGGGGCGGGAGGGGAGTGGGCGGAGGTTGACGCCAGGCTGGCCTGGTGCTGCAGGGAGTGAGGCAGGGCCGGGGTTGCACGCTGGTCCTTCCCCGAGCCCCGCGGGAGAGCAGGGCCGGGGGTGGCGGCGGCGGGGACCACAGGCAGAGCGCGTCAGCTGCAGCCGCAGGACAGACGTCACCGGGCGCTCCCGCAGAGCTGCGTGCCCACGTCCCTCACTTCTCTGTCCCACTGCCCCTTCCCTTGCAGTCTGGGTGACGGTTGCGGCCATCTCCGTGGAAACCCCGCAGGAAGTCCTCCGGGCTGCCCGAGGAAGGAGCGTCACCCTTCCTTGTACCTACCGCACTTCCATCGCCGACAGAGAGGGGTTCATCCAATGGGACAAGCTTCTCAAGAGCCACACGGTAAGGGTCGTTCGAAAGTGGGGGCACCCGGGAAGGAGCACAGGCAGCACGTGGCAGAGCCGGCGTTTGCCTGGGGACAGAAGTGACCTAGTGGGCGCGGTGTCCTGCTGGGACGTGCTGAGTGTACTGGTGAATAAACACACTCCGAAGGCAGGACTCAAGCAAACCAGGTGCCGTGGAGGCCACGCGTGCTGCCTAGCCCCAGGCCGGGGGCGTCGTGGGTGCTCGACAGACGCCGCAGCATGAACGAGCGAGGACGGGCATGGGCTGAGACGGGGTGCGCAAGAGGCGCCGGAGGCCACGGCGGCGGCGTCCGGGCGGGGCCCGGGGAACCCGCTGATCTGCACGCGCGCTGTGCCGGGCGGGCCTCCCTGCCCCGGTCTTTCCCGTCGTCACCAGACGTGTGCAGACCTGAAAGGTGCTGCGGGGGAGCTGTGTGTCCTGGGGGTTGGCGGCAGGGTTGGCGGCAGCGCTGCTGGGGGCCGGCGGCCGAGGGCCGGCGGCACTGATGGAGGGAGCGCCGAGCCGGGGCCTGAGGGGGAAGACCAAGTGGCATTTCTTCATCCCCCCAGGAAAGAGTGGTCCTCTCGAAGTTTTCGTCCCCAAGCTACATCTACGGGGTCCGTTACCAGAACCGGGTCAACTTCTCGGGCGACACTGAGCACTCCGACGCCTCCATCACCATCAGCCAGCTTGTCATGGACGACAACGGCACCTACGAGTGCTCGGTCTCGCTGCTGCAAGACCTGGAGGGCACCTCTAAGGGACGCGTCCGCCTCCTGGTCCTCGGTGAGTGCCCTGTGTCCCGCGGGAGCGGCAGGGAGGGGGGCGGGGAGGACAGGCGGCCGGGGTGAGACAGAGCCGGGGCAGCAGCGCCTGACCCGGAGCCGACCCCTCCGTCGCCTGTCGGTCCGTCTGTCCGTCTGTCCATTCTGCACCTCCCCTGGGGACGGAAGGGTGCGCCAAGTGACCCAGAGGGGCCTGCTTGGAGTGGCCTCTGGGCCGGCCTGGGAGGTCCTGGCCACGCTCTACCAGGGCCCTTCCTGGACACCTCTCCCTGTTTTCACGCCCAACTTACTGACAAGAAGGAAAGAGAAACCTGGTCCGATGGCGAAGCCGCTCGCTGGGCCTTACGCTGTCCTCAAGGGAGTGTTTTGTACTGTATGCTAAGAAATCCAGCAACTTCTCTTTTTATAAAGCTTTCTTTCCAAATGGCTCTCCTGCTCTTCAGGCAGAAGGGCTTTCATTATGGGGACGGCCCGCTTGGGCTGCTGACCTCGGGACCGAGTCGGCGCTCGGAGTCCTGGTCCCGCCGGGAAGCTTCCCTGCCGTGGGACACCTGTGGCTCCTGCGGGCTCGGCCGCCTCCCGGCCTCCGGCGCCCCCTGGTGTCCACTGCGGAAGTGGCGGGCTTTGCAAGGCCTGGAGCCCGTGGCGTCCCCTGCCCATCATCCTGCCTGCAACGAGCATTCAGGCGGCATCTACCCTCTGCCTCAACGGAGATCTGAGATCTCTGGGGCTCCCTGTAGCGGGTGTAAGGGCTGCTGGGCTACAGGGGAGAGGCGATCCTGAACCTCCTGAAGAAAGAAGCGGGGGGCGGGGTCCTGCCTGCCACTGGCGGCTCCAGCACAGCACCATCCCCTGTGTGACCTCCCGCCCACCCCCAAGGACACTCCAGGGAGCCTGGGTGCACCCGCCCCCCTGCCTGGGGGGCCACGCCCCTCTCTGGCCTTCGCCGCAGCCCCCTTTGCCCTCTCCCTTCCTTCCCGCCGCAGCCCGTGCTGGGCCGCACCGCGTCCCTCGGCCAGGCCTTCCCTGCCCTGGCGACCTGCCACCTGCTGGCCATCGTCCAGTCACGCGTGCGGTGCCTCCACAGGACTCCCTGAACACAGGGACACACTCGCTAGACCGCCCCCCGTCCCCAGCAGCGCCCCACACACGGCCGGCGCCCCGCCAGGTTCGGAGAACCTGGACCCGCGCTACGCAACGGCAGGCATTCTGGGAGACGCATCGGGCACGCGTTGGGAGCGCCTGCTGGCTTTGGTGCCCTCCCCTCTGTGGGCTCCCCTGTCCCTACCTCGGCCCCTCTGTCCCCTCCCAGCCCTCCGGCCCTCATTCCCACCCAGGACACATGGGGGTCTCTCCCATCCCCCAGCCAGTCCGGACGATGGCATTTAATCAGCAAAGCATGAAAAGAGGGCTACGCTTTACCCACAGCGAACACAGGGAGGGCTTGAGAGGGGCGGCCGCTGGCCCCGCGGGAGGCGGCCTGTCTCGTGTGATCTGGGAGCGAAGGCGGTTTCTACGTTTCTAAAGGGCTATTTAATAGAAGCAGTGACAGGGAGCATGATGTGGCCCTTCCCAGCGTGTCTGTTGTCCCCTTAGGGGACAGGCAGGATGGCCGTCAGGGGCTGCAACGGCCCAGCTGAGTCCCCGGAGGGCGCGCCTGAGGCCGTCGGGGCAGCCCAGGGCCTGAGCCAGCAGACCAGGCTCCAGCCCCAGCTCGGGGCCCGCCCCGTGACCCCATCTTCACAAGGTGGCGACTCCACACTGGCCGTCGGGACGCTGCCTGTGTGAGAGGGACAGCCGCTGGGCCGGTTTTCTGGGTGGACTGACCTTAGGGCGTCATATCTCACTGCTCGGCCGTGGCTTTCTCTGCCTGGGAACAAACGAGGCACGTGTGTGTGTCTGCGCGGGGCGGGGGTGGCCGCAGTCTCCAAGCCCACCTGACTCGTGCCTTCTCTTCGGCCTCTCTCCACGCAGTGCCGCCCTCCAAACCAGACTGCGGCATCCAGGGAGAGACCGTGATCGGGCACGACATCCAGCTGACCTGCCAGTCCAGGGAGGGCTCCCCGGCCCCGCAGTACAGCTGGAAGAGCTTCGATCTCCTGAACCAGGAGCGGGGAGGCCCACCAGGTAACCCCAGCAGGGTGCCAGGGGGCCCCGGCTGACCCATCGGGACCCTGAAGGCTGTCCCACGCCCCCTCCCTGCAGCTGGCACGGCGATGTCTCGAGTCACCTCTGTAAGCACCGTTTTCTCATAAGAGCACCTACCCAGCTCGTAGGTGGCCGTGAGCTAGGACAGCGATTTCACCAGCAGCCCTCAGCGGAAGGAAGCACACAGGCCATGTTCACTGGCTGTCCTTCTGTCCCAGGACACAGCTCTCTGCAATGGCGTCATCAGCGGTCACTCTGTCTGTGACCTCAGCTTTGACTACAGTTGCGTCCTCAGCTGCACACCAAGGCCCCCAGTCCAGCTCTGCGTCCCACTCAAGGGTGGCAATTTCCTGTTGCCACACCCTCCCCCAGCTGGTCCCTCGCAGGGTCCCCTGAACCGCACGTCCCTGAGCATGTCCCCTTCTGGGGCCCCGCACCACCAGGTCATTGCTCCTGTGGGGCCCCGCGTTCTCAGGGCTCAGGGGCCGCGATGGAAGGTCACTTACAGTTGCCAGGGGACCGGTTTTGTCCTGCGCAGCTTGGTAGTTGGCCTTTTGGTCAGGAAACAAACTAAAGCAAGACAAAACCAAACCAAACCAAACCCCCCAAAACTATGTAAATGTCCTCCTGCCATGACCGTGGAGCCCCTGGCGTGGGAACCCCTCACCGGGGCCCCTGCTGCCGGCCAGCTGCACCCAGAGCTCCTGGGACAAGCCCCAAGAGGTGCCTGTCCCTTTAGCTGTGGGCGGTCCTCCCACTCAGGGCAGCGGGAGGCCGGCAAGCAGCGCAGAGGGCGGGGCCGGGGGCGGGGCCACGGCGGGGAGGTCGGGCTCTGCCTGGGAGGCCAGGGAAGCGCCAGGCAGGGCCGGGTGTGGCCAGCGCATGGCCGATGGGGCCGCCCCTCAGACAGGATGGATTCGTTCGTCTCTACCCTTCTGGACCACAAGGTGTTACCGCGGCAACAGAAGCATTAGTTTTAGCCTGATTTCGGAACTCTTAGGACTGCTCCTAGAAAAGGGGTTTGGGAGCCCCAGTTTGGAGTCGAAGCAGGTCTCGGGGCCCCGGGCTGCACGGGCTAGTCCCTGAGCAGCTTCCCACGCCAGCCGTCTGCGTGCGGAGCAGCGTCGGATGGCACCGACCCTGGCTGGGAAGCCGTGTCCCCGGCCCTGGGCGGTCCCCCCTCCACGTGCGGTGCGCACCTGCACCCGAGAGAAGGCTGGGGTCAGAGAGCCTTTTCCCAGAGGGGGCTCCTTCAAGCTGCCGCTTAAAAAGAAATCCCATTGGCTTAGAAAATGAGACTGTTAAGTGCTCACCACCATTGGCCTATTACAAGTGGCTGGGAGTTCAGTCCTTAAAACCTTAGTTAACCCTTCGATTCCTAAACCTGGTCACGGGCTCATTCCCAGTATATGGTAATGCCACATGTCCATGACACTTCAGAAAACACGCCAGGTGTGGACTCCAGAATTTCGGGGAGACCGGCGCCTAGGGCGCAGTGCTCTGGGCTCCCAGGGTGGTGTCAGGAAGGCGCACGCGTGTGGAGGGGCTGGGAGCAGCGGCCGGTTGCCGGCGCTTATCTGAGCGGCGAGAGTGCGGCTGATTTTCATTTCCTGTCTGCTCCTTGCAGAGGCTCTCCCTGGGCTGGGGAGTCAATTCCTTTACTATAGGCTCAGGTAGGACTTCAGTTGGGACCCTCGTCACCCGGCCATCACCCAGGGTCACGTCCGTCTTCCCTTGTAGACTGGGGACCTCTCTTTACCTTGTTGCGAGCTAAGTGATCGGCATGAGTTTTCTGGATCAGGCTGAATTGAAATGACCTTTGTGTGTCATGTACAAATGCTTCTCAGGAGCACGCATGGTTTTATAATTTCTTCAAAGAGAGTTGGCAACTACTCCAGAAAGTTCTGGACTTAAAAACAGGATTTGGGGGAAGGTTTCAACCCTGTTTCATTTTGTCACCCTGGGCAAGTCAGTTGCCCGTGTGATGCTGGAGGAGGGAACATTTGCTCTGCCTGCCAGACCGCGAGATTGCGGGCAGAGTCGGGGAGCCCGCAGCCGAGGATTGTGCCGATCGGCGCCCGGGCAGGAGCGAAGTGGGGCCCGGGCGGAGGGAAGGGGGGGGCGTGGCAGGGCCGGGGGTGGGGAGTGGGGGCGACCCTGTGACCTGCGTCCCAGATCTGGATCCGTTGCCCTGAAAGGTCGGACCAGGCAGTGGCAGGATGGACCGCGGCCACATGGTGGCAGCAGAGGCCACATGAGGCTTCTGCTGCAAAGGAGGGGACAGAGGTCTCAGCCTGGCGCTCAAACTTGCCGCTACAGCAAAGCGGCTTAGAGGGCGGGACATGTCAACATGCGTGGGCGCCGAGCTCGCCCTTCTGGGGTGGACCGACCACAGGGCCGCGGGCCTGGCAGGGGGGTAGCTCGCGAGGATTCCGGGGCGTCGCCCTGCCCTCAGGAGGGCCGGGCCCCACCCCCCGCTCCAGGTTCCCAGCTGTGGCGCCCACAAGCTAAACGGCGCACGTGCGCAGAAGACGGCGAAGGGCCCAGACAGACAAACAGCCGCCTCCTCGCCACCACACGCAGATGCGCACACAGGCAGCGACGCCCCCCCGCCGCCAGACACACTCACACACTCACCTGTACACACACACACTCACCCACTCACAGAGATCCGCTGTGGTGCTTTCTAAAGCCGCCCTCCACGTGCGTCCAGCTCAGATTCAGTGTCTGAGGGACAGAAAGGGGTCACAGTGACGCCTCCTGATCAGAAGGCATTTTTGCGTGACACGCACTGCGCGTCCTGGGCCCGGCCATGTGGTGGCCTCCGGCGGGGGCTCACGGTAGCTAGGCCCTCACCAGGTGCCCACGCGTCTGGGAGCCGGGCGCTGTCATCGCTGTGTCCATACCCGAGGAAACGGGGGCTCTGTGACGCCAAGGGACTCGCCCAAAGGCCCACGATGTACAAGCAGCAGGTCTGGGCTTCAGACTCAGGGTGACCAGCAGCCCCCACGCCCCTTGGAGCGGCGCCTCCCGCCGGAGTCCCTCTGTGGCCCGGCGGCGCGGCCGGCTGGACGGCGCAGGCCCACAGCGGCGCCCTCTCCTCACCGCGGCCCCCCTTCCCAGGCACCGGGCAGGTCTTGACTCTGAAGAACATCTCCATGGACACGTCAGGCTTCTACATCTGCACCTCCAGCAACGAGGTGGGGACGGAGTTCTGCAACATCACGGTGACCGTCAGGCCACGTAAGAGCAGCGGAGGGTCGGGGGGTGGGAAGGGGGCGGGAGGACTCGGCAGCCTTCCTCGGCCCGCTGCCCGGTGGCTCCCCCGCCGGGGCTCCGGCTTCCACAGACCTGCCCCGTCCGCGTGTGGGGCAAGCCCACAGAGTGCCCGTCTGGACCCCATCCTGCGGGCAGGACACCCGCCAGCCCAGGGACAAGCCGGGGCAGGAACTGCCTGGCTGACCGTGGAGGACTTTTCCGGGGCCTGGGGAGCGCAGGGGTACAGGGACCCAAAGGCAGGGGCTCTCTGTCCTTGTCTACGTCTCCATCCTCAAGGGTGTCCCCAGGCCTGGCTGGTCACGTTCCCACAGGGCCTTTCGCGGACTCTCCCAGAGGCGGGCTCCCTGGGCTGGGGGAGGACCGGCGTCCCCGGGGGCTGCCGTGGGCGGCCCTGCCCACACGCGCAGCCCTGGAGCCCAGGCTCGGCGGGTGGGGTGCAGCCGCTCTGTCTGCCGCAGCCTCCATGAACGTGGCGCTGTACGCGGGCATCGCCGGTGGCGTGGTGGCAGCCCTCATCATCATCGGGGTCCTGATCTACTGCTTCAGCTGCCGGGACAGGGGCAAGGACGGGCAGTCCAGCCGGTGAGTGTGGCGGCAGCCCGGCGGCCCGGGCTGGGCGGGTTGGGGAGGTGCGTCCCGGCCCCGCACGCCGAGGGACAGCTGTGGTTTCCATCAGCCCGTCCTGAAGCGGCGTGGAAGCCCCAGGCGTGGCCCACGGCTCCGGATCTCAGGCGGGGCTCCGGGGGCACCAGGGCGCATGGGCCGCAGCCTTTGTTACAGGCAGGTGCCTCCTGCCTGTTCCCTGACACCCTCGGCTCACGAGTGGAACAAACCTGGGCCACGGCCTGCCCCCTCTGAGCCCCGTCCTTCAGCCCCGGTCCCTCTGCGGCTGGACGGCGTGGCCGGCGGCCACGAGGAGGGCTGGGCCGGCTCCCGGGGCAAACCGTCCCCTGTCCCCTCTGCCGCAGGAGTAAGTCCAGGTACGAGGGGCCCAAGGAGCAGCAGAGGGACATTTTTCAAGGACGGCGAGAGGAGGACGGCTCCTGACCACGCGGGCCGGTGCGGCCGGGGCTGCTGACCTCACTGCCGAGTGACCCTCCCAGCAGCCCGGCTCCCGGGGACCACGCGTGCCCAGCGCCAGGCCCGTGTCTGCCAGAGGGTTTGCATGCAAAACGTTCGTGTCGAATGAACGAAAGAATAAATGAGTGCACGAAGGCCTCCCTGTTATTATCCGACTCAAGTGCCAGCTCCCCGCTCCAGGGCCAGGGGCCGGCCTCGAGCCCGCTGTCCGCCCTCGCCCCCCGCCCCGGGCTCCCCGCATGGCCAGGCCCTGCCGGCAAGGGCCTCCCCCAGCCGCCCGCGCCCTCCCGCGCGGCGACCGTCGCGGTCTGCTGACGTCCCGGCTGTCCCTCTAGGCCCTTCCCAAAGCCCCGTGAGCTCTGTGGCTCTGTCCTGATGTCCCACCCCCGTCACTGGCCGCAGAGTGCAGCTACCTGAGCCCGTCTCTCTGTGTTAGAGTCTGAGCTCCGTGCGCCAGGCCTGGGCCTCCCCCGGCCTTCCATGAGGAGAGGGGCTTTTCCCACGCTGGCCTCCCTGCCAGGCTGTGGGCACCAGGGTGACTCTCACCCAAACCCGTCGGCTCCTTTGGTGACCTAAGGTGGCTTGATGCAAACGGGCACGTCACGGTGATGCTCTGAAGGCCAGAGTTGCTGACGCGCCCCCCGCGTCCCGCCCGCAACCCTGCCCCGCCCAGCCCCGGCTCTGCCCTGCTGGCTGGGGTCGGGCTGTTCCCCACGTCCCGCGGCTGCGTCTTCCCCGGAGGCCCGGGCAGTGTCCTGCGAGCTCAGGCCTCAACGCCGGTGGCCAGTCCCCCACAAGTGCTGTTTACTGTTAAATAAACAGAGCCTTTTCTGCATAATCAGAAAAGTCATTTTAAAAGCCCATGGTCCATGCGTGATTTAAAAATATCTTTTATATGTATCTGTTAAATTCTTCGCCTCATTCAAAGTGCTGCCAACGATCATGAAGTGGGCAGTGGCAGTACTTTCTGTTTTGGCATTTGGCTCCCCCTGGGCGGCAGGGGGACGTGAGGGGGTGGAGGCTTCACCCCAGGCGGCAGTGGCGGCGTCAGCGTCTGCCTCCCAAAGGCGCTCCTGCCTCCTCTGCAAGGCCAGGCGGCGGGCGAGTGCGCGGCGCGGACGCACAGCGTGCCGACTTCTGCAGGAAGGCCATCATGGGGTGCTCAGGCTTTGTCCCGTCCCGTGGGGAGGCCTGGCCCTTGTTAGGGAAGCCACCCCCTCCCCAGGACAACGCAGGGGAAGGGGGCGAATCCTTCTGGAATCGGCAAGTACTAGCGGCCAGGAGGGGGGTTTCTGAAAGGAGGAGCACCGTGGAGAGATACCCCCTCCAAAGCAGCAGCGGGGGCAGGGGAGGAAGCACCGTGCCCCCGCCTCCTCCGCCCTCCCACGGGCAGACCCCAAGGAGAAGGCAGCCGGCGAGGGACCAGCTGTGCCGTCCATGGGGATCAGCCTCCGACAGCGCACAGCAGGGAAGACAGGGGACAGAGGGCAGAGGTGGGGGCAGCAGAAAGCCAGGCGAGCATAACAGACACATCTGCCGGCACCCGCGGCCACCGGTGGGCGCCTGGGCCCGGGCCTCCGCGTCCCACCCCATTGTCTGCTCCTGATACGGGGCAGGGAGGCCCAGTCTACCTTCCAAAAGCCGTAGGCTCTTCCACAGGCAACCCGGGCTACACGCCAAAACAGGAATTTCGGAAACACTCACCCCCGGTTTCGAGGGCCCGGATAACAAGTGCTGCTCAGTGTCCTTCCAGTTCCAGAAAATGGGGGTCAATCCCATAGGCAGCTGGGCCTGCGGCCGCGTCCCAGGTGGCGGGGACAGCCTGCCGTGCGGCCCGTGCGTGCCACACGCACGCGGGAAGGCAGTGGACTCCGCAGTGTCCCTCCGCCGGATGTGTCCCCTGATATTTTTCTTGAAATAATCTCCAGCTCACAAAACACACACACGTACAACACAACCCTGACCCCAGCCTGAGCCACTGGAGAGTAAGCTGCCAACACGATGCCCAGCCACCGTGACCGTGTAAGCGTCTCCCGCGTTTTCCTCCCTATAATCAGGCTCTTCTCCCACAGGACGCGTGCAGCCGTCGAGGGCAGGACGTCAGCCCCGACGTGCTCAGACCCTTCACGCGTCACCGGCTTTCCCAGGAACGCCCATTTCCGCAGAAGAACCGCATTCAGAATCACTCCTTGCATGTAGTCCCCATACGTATTTAGCCTCCACCGATTTGGGATCCTTCCTCGATCTCCCCTTGACGTTCACGTGACTGGCGTTTCTGAGGTCACAAAGCCTGTGGTGCCCGAGAAGCCTCTCAGCCGGCTTTGGTGGTCCCTGCCGGTGAGGCGCCGGCGTCCTTGACAGGAGCAGGGCAGCGCCTCCCAGCGGGTTTGCGTTTCCCCACCACAGGTGCCGGCAGCGCGGCTTCCTGGGTCAGGCGGTCTCTGCCTGGGTTCTCTGTTACCCTGAAATGACTTATTTTCCCACTGCCGTGCCTACGGACCACGTTTTGCCATCTACAATGCACACTTTTTCGCCCAAATTTTCGAGGGGAAAATAGGGATGTGTGTTTTACATGGGCATAATGGTTACATAGCATGGGTGTAACAATCCCGTGTACAGTGCGCACGAAACGTGGGTGCGCATTATACACGGCAAAAACCGGTGTTTTTGTTGAGAGGTTCTTAGAGGCTAAATATCCCATTTCTTTTTTGTCTGAAGGAGTTAAAATACAAGTTCATTTTAAATGATCACAGTAAGAGTGGTTTTCATTTTTCACTCATTCTCAACTCATGTCAATGAAGAGACTTTTCTAACCAGGCATGGAAGGACAGCATCTAGCTTTTAATTTATTCATGAATGTATCAAACCTCTGTGGACTCAGCCGTCTCTCTTTTACCCACTAGGTGATAGTCCATGTTTGTCATTTATTTGGACGCTTAAATTGTGTCAGATTTGGCAGTGGGAGCCCCTTTCTAGGTGGCTTCATTGAGCTTTGACGTGTCCCTATCACTTCCTACGCTTCTTCACTTTCGGGCACAACGGGGTATGGAGGGCTCATATATCTACGTTCTCTACTCAGCCTTGAAGGCAGCTGTTCTTCCAAGGAGCGCCTGACCCGTCCAGCGGGGAGAATGTACAGTCAAGTCGCCCCTCTTTATCCGCGGGGGAAACCGGTCAAGACCCCCGCGGGTGCCTGAAACCGCGGGAAGTACCGAACCCTGGATATACTCGTTTCCTACACATAAATACCTGTGATAAAGTTTAACTTATTAATTAGGCGCTGTAAGAGCTCAATGATACCCAGCAATAGACCAGAACTGTAACCGCGGACTACAGCGACCTTGACAGGATGGGGGACAGGGTGTCTCTCTAACACGTGACTGTGTGGCACTCACCGCCTCCTGGCGACGCTCCGAGATGACGCGAACCCCGGTGACGTCATGCAGGGAGGGGAGTGACGTGAGCCTGGTGACGTCATGAAAGCCCCCAGGACTCAGGGGGGGAGCCCCTGGGACGCACGTGACCTCCAGGGCGCCGGAACCAGAGCTCAGGAGGCACAAGCGGCAGGAAGTGACGCCAGCCTCGCGGAGGCGGAAGCGAGTCCCTGCAGGGAGACATCAGGACTCTTGACTCTGAGGGCGCCCCGTCCCCTCTTCCCGGACTTGGCAGACGGGACCTGGGACGCTCTTGAGCGCCCCCTGGTGCCGCCGGGAGGAGGCGGGCTCGCGGGCCCGCGGTGACTGATTCCGCTTCGCTGCAGAAAGAACATGGGCCGCGGCGGGCAGTTGCCCCGGAGCAGAGGCTCGGGAGGCGGATCCAAGGCCTCGGCCACCAAGACCCCCGTCACACCCGAAGGGAGCAAATTTCCAGAAAAAACAGCCCCGGTGAATCACAGCCACGGGCCTCCCAGCTCAGTAGCTTGGGGTCTGTAGCCACGTGCTTGAGGTCCTGGGGGTTCGGGATTGAAGTGCTGCACTTGAAGAAGCTGTTCAGACGTGGCGCGTGGCTACCAGCCGCGCGGCCACGGACGAGGACACCGGGCTCGGAGGGGCAAGTGACTGGGCAAGGCCTCAGGCAGCAGGTTAGGTGACAGCTGGGGTCCCGAGTCAGGTCTGCCTCCTTCAGTCCTGGGCTTTATATCACAGCTTTGCCTTTGGGAGACAGACAGACCCAGGAGCCCCGAATCAATGTTAGTTGCCGCGGCACAGTTCTGCGCCCGTGGGCCTCAGCCCGGCCTTCGGGAGCAGCCCGCCGGTTAGCAGCTCCGGCAGCCTTCCCCTGCCCCGGCGTCTCTCTTTGACTGTCTCCCTCACGAAGTTACACACATCCTGCCGTCCCTCTGAACCAGCTCTGCGACCCAGGGGTGCTCGGTGGGGCCGCAGGACAGTTGGCAGAAACAATGGCAGCTCCGGCGCGGCCCGAGGCCCCTTAGGAAGACGGCCCGAAGGGGGGTCGGTGCTGAAGGGGACTGGCCAGGATTCGGACTGTGCCAAACAAAGAGGGGAAATGAGCAAAGGAGGCAAGAATGTAGGCAAGAGAGTGAGTGTAACACATGATCGTGAACTTGGAACCTGCCAAGGAGCAAAGGGAAGCCGGCGCCGTAGGAGACGGAAGCGGGGGTTGAGTCGGCGGCCAAGGCGCTGGGTGCAGTGGAATTACTGGACTCGGGGGGTGGGGGGCGGAGCTAAAACCTGAGATGGGGAGGGGAGCCCAGGGGCCTGAGACGGAAGGCGTTGGCTGGGGGCCAGTGTCCATGGTCACGAGAACTCAGGTGCGCCCGGCATGGCGGTCGTCACGGGGACGGAGGGCAGCTCACTGAGACGAGGAAGCCACGGACTGGGACGCCACGTTTGAAAAGATCATCACCATGGAGACTGGAGTCACCAAAAGCCATGGCAGAAGTGGCAGGGGAGAGCGTGCCGGCGAGCCCAGAGCTAAAGCCACCCAGGATGGAGTGGGCGTGCTCTGGGGGGCAGTGGGTGACGTGGCCTCCACGGGACACTCACACCGGGAGGTTTTGAGGGGGGCGGCGGGGCCGATGGTGTTCAAGGGGCATGGAGGAGCCGGGGGTGCCCACCTCACCTGCGGGGCGGGCTGGGGAGGGGAGCGGCCAGCGCGGCCAGGCCTCGGGGTGTGAAGGGGAGCTCAGGAGGTGGGGTGCACAGGGCGCTTGCCGCCTGGCCCGTGAGCCCCTGCTGGACGGGAGTGGGGGGCACGGGGTGGGGGGGGCTGGGGCCAGAAAAGAGTGGACAGAGCGGCCCGGGGCTCCAAGGTGGGGAGACGGGGTGGGAGGGTTCAGGGCCGGGCGGGGGGCGGTGGAGGCAGGTCCCACCTCGACGCAGGCGGTGGTGTGCGGGTGCTGCGCGTCCACAGCCACGGTGACACCACCCGCCAGCACACGGTTGCGGGGAGAGGCCCTCGCGCCCCAGTGTTCGAGACCTCCCGTGAAAAAGGGAGATAACAGTAAAAAAGGGCGTCGTTGTGCCCTCCAGTCGGGGAGACAGACACCCTGGGGGCAGGGGTGGCCTGAAAGGCGGGCCGGCGGCCGTGAGGCAGGACTGTGCCTCTGTGTTAACCACACTTCGCCAGGGCAGGAATGTGTGCGTGAATCTCCACGTTCAGGTCATGTTCGGCAGCAGCGCCACAGCCTCGAACTAACTTTTTCTTTTTCTGGTTAAAAAGCAGGTGCCTGGAAATTAAAAGCATCCCCAAAGAGCACAGATAGGATGCGGTCAAAGTCAAGGGCCTCCTGCTACTAGTCAAAGGCTTCTTAGGCGCCCGTCCTGTCCCCGCCCCCCAACCCCGCCACCCCGTGGCCCGCTTCCCCGATGACGCAGCTGTGCTGAGCACCGCTGAGGGCCGGTGGGACGCAGACCGTGTCTGTCGTTCGCAGCCGCTGCCTGGGCCCTGCCGGCGCACCTGCTGCTCGGCGCCTGGGAAGCCACGTTTCTTTAAACTGCCATCTGTGCCTGTGATCTCAAAGGGAGAACGAGGCTTTCTAGATGCTTCCAACTGTGATGTGGCCGATGAACACAGCCCCGGGATGGGGTCCAGCGGTGGCCACACTGGGAGTTTGGTTTTCTTTTCTTCCTTAAAGCTAAGTGAAGACACGAGGTGTCAGCTCAACAGCGGGTGAGGCGCCTAATTTACTGATCCGGCCCGCAGAGCTCTCCTGCCTTTGTTTTCTAGCACAAGAGCGTCTCAGGTCGTCCTTAACGCTGGCCCTTCCAACAGCAACCGGTAGAAACCTGAAGAAAGTTTGAGAGAGAATTCGAGCTGAAGAAACTATTTCACTGCTTACTGCCTGATTTACCAAAACCCTCTATTAACATTTGCTTGTTATAGTCCTTCATTTTTTAAAAAAGATTTATTTTTAGAGAGAGGGGAAGGGAGGGAGGAAAAGCAGCATCAATATGTGGGTGCCTCTAGAGCGCCCCCTACTGGGGAACCTGGGCCACAACCCAGGCCTGTGCCCTGACTAGGAATCCAACCAGTGACACGTCAGTTTGCAGGATGATTCCCAACCAACCGAGCCACCCTACGCAGAGTGAAAAAATCCCTTGGATTTTAATTGAAATTGTACTCAATCTACAGATCAGTCCAGGGAGAACTGAAATCTTTATAATAAACCTTTACAATATTCTAGGAATCCCTATTTATTTAGGTCTTTATCGTTTTTCTCTGTCCTCTAACTTCTGGCATACAGATCTTGGTTATTTATTTATTTTTGTCAGCTGTATTCCCCGGTATCTCAGGGGTTTTGCTACTGTAAATGCTGGGTTTTTTTTTTTCTGGGTTTTCTTTTTAAAATTGTTTTCTAAACCATTGTCAATGTATAGACATGCATCTTATTTTGTATCGATCTTACTATCTAGTTTTTTTTAGCTTTTGTGTAGACAACCATCTCTATGAACAGTGACAGTTTTATTCCTTTCCAAATCTTTCCTTGTGTGCTCCCTTATGCTGCGCTTGCTAGAATGCCAGCACCATGTTGAATAAAAGCAGCGAGGGCATTTTTTTGTCTTGTTCCTGATAGTAAAGGAAATGCTTCCCCAAGGAGAGTAATACTTGCTGTAGAATTTTTCTAGATGCTTTTCATCCGGCAAAGGAAGCGCTGAGTCTATTCCTACTTTGCTTGGGATTTTTATCAAGAACGGGTGTTGACTTTTGTCAAATGCTTTTCTCCACCCATTCTGATGATAACATGCTGTTCTCCCTTGAACCTGTTGTGACAAGCGACACTTACAGATTTTCTAATGCTCACTCACTCTTGCTCGCCCCAATAAACCCAGTTTGGACACAACCTGTGACATGTTGGTACGTATTGGTGTGAAATAGACCCTGAAAGCTGAACACAACTCACCTGTTAGGCCACATGTCCCGGGCACATGGGAAGTAATGTGCCCATTTCTTGGTTACAGAGGACGCGGGCTGTGTCATCTGGAGGATCTCCTGGCAAATTGTGTCCCTTGGAAAGTGTGTCCAGTTCATCTAAGTGTTCGGATTTGTTGGTATGCACATTCGCTGTATTTTTTCTTTGAGCTCTGCTGCTCTGTCTATGCCTTTTAATTCTTGATGCGGTTCATGCCTTCTTTCTGGTTTGCTTGGCTCTTCGCACTGGAGGTCTCGTCTTCTTGAGGAGCCAGTGGGCTTGGTCAGACCCCGCTTTTGTTTTTTCATTTTGTTGACACTTACTCCATATTCTCCTTCTGCTTTTTAAAAGACACTTATTTTTGGAGAGGAGGGAGGGGAGATCAGTACCATTGTCTCTTGCATGCACCCCAACCAGGGATTGAACCCTATCCTTCCGTTTTTCATGGGTTTGTTCTTTTTCTAACTTAAAACTTCATTATACTTGGCAATGTATTAGTTTGCAATGTTTTTTCTAACTCCCTAAAATGTACGTGATGCTCCATTCTCAACCCTTCTTTTCATCCCATGTAACTATTTAAAGCCGTTTTTCCCGCCTAGAGTCTCTAAGGTAGAATTTACCATTCAATTGCTCTGCAGACTTCTACTGTCATTTAGTTACAAGTTGGATTTTGGATTGCATTGTGGCTTCTATAGACATGGGTTTTTTTAAAAATTATTTTAAAAACATAAATAGCCGAACAGTAGAGAAAAAACTTGACTTGTTCACACTGTGATTCAGTGAGACTTGCTTTATGGTTTGGCTATTAAATAATTCCACGTGTGTTTGAAATGAATGTAATGAGCACACTATTCAAGTTCGTTCATTTAAAGTGTTCTATATGTACTGATTTTTAGCTTATCAATGAATTTGTTTAAATCTTTCAACTTGATGGTAGATTCGTCTATTTCTCTGTAGGCTCTATTACTTTTTACTCTGAATTTCTTGAAACTATCACGTGAGACACACAGAAGAAACAAAATCACTGGTTGAACAAGAAAACACTTAACAGTCAGCTGATCTTCTTCCTGCGCACCGCCGGGTCCTGGTGGTCGGCCTGGTGGTCGGCCGGGTCCTGGTGCAGGCCTGAGGCGCCACACAGCCTGGGCATTCACAGACCGCAGCGGCGCAGCGGGCGCAGGTCGGTTCAGGCAGCGCGGGTGCCCGAAGCCGCGGGCGGGCACTGTGACCGCAAGCCTCCCCCGACCCCGTCCCAGCCACCCCCTCACCGTCGTGCTGATCCTGAAGCTTGGCTTTGAGAGTTTTACAAAATCTCTACTAGAAACGCAACATATTCACTTACGTCTCATGAGTTTTCTCGGCCAAAGAGCGGATGTCAGAAACAGAGGCCAAGGAGGCAGAATGACACGGCGCGTCCACAAACATGGGCTCTGGAGTCAGGCCGGCCGGGCTCGCGCCCTCACTGAGGAGCCCTGCGCCCCGAGTCGTGCTCTTGAAGGGAGTGGTGACAAGGACTCCACAGGATGACACCTCTGTGCAAAACCAGGCACTCAAGAGGCTGGTGCCGGAGCGGGTGGTGGGCAGAAGCCGGCGTTGCGCGGCAGGACCCGAGTGCGCCCCGTGATCGGGGCACCCAGAGTCAGAGTCCGGCAGGCCTGACCGCGAACGTGGTCTGGGCTGCACGCAGCCCGAGCTGGAGGGTCACTGCGTCCCTTTCCCGCCCCTGGGGCCGCGGACCAGCCCCGACGGAGAACAGGGGCCAGTGTCCGGCAGCCGCCCCCAGGGCAGACGCCCGGCTCGGCGTGACCCCTCCTGGTGTGCGTGAAGAGCGCGGGTCAAGCACCCTGGAATCTGGTCACTCCGCAGCCACGTGATTTGGGGGATGTTACTTAATCCCACTTTGGCTGCTCATCCTTCCAACGGCTCCTTTTACCAAAGTCAGCATATTTCAGAGACTTTAAGTAACAAAACTTTATTTTTGTTAAAGGTTGATATTCTTAGATATTTGCAATGAAAATAGCCAGCAGGTCTCAAGAGAAAAAGGTTCTACACATCATAATGGGAAAAGATACATTAACACTCCTTTAAAACTTTCTTAACAGATATTCAACACCTTTATTGTGAGGAAAGAGGATGAAAATATAACACTCCCAAAAGCACAACTCTGAAATGCCAGCTCCGTTCTCACAGGACGCAGACCTTGGAAGGCATCTCCATGACAGTCACGGAGGCGCAGCCCTCGGGAGAGAGGCCGGCCAGGCCAGCACCCCCAGGCCAGCGCCCCCCGGCCGCGGAGAGCGTTTCCTCACGGGCGAGCTGAGTTCCGGGCGGCGACAGCTGCCCCCCCGCGCCCCCCGCCTGTCGGCAGGGCGCAGTCTGAAGGGCAGCTGGGCCTGCCACATTCCAGAAACTGAAAGTGCCATCACTGGGACAGGGGTGGGAAGGAGCTGGGCCCCTCCTTGGGGGCCACGGGAGGGGAGAGGGCGGCCTCGCAGCTGGAGAGCCGAGGCGCGTGGCTGAAGGGGCCGGAGATGCTCTCGAGCAGGCGCGTGATCCCTCGCCCCCGCGCCTGGCTGCGGGTGCCCGCCACCTTCGCCCCGGCGGGGTGGTCACCTGAGACAGCAAGAACGCGGCAAAGAGAAGCCACTCCCTAGTCTTCTCAGAGAGAGACACCCCCCGAGTCGTGTGCGCTGCTCCTCCCCCACGGGCTGCCCCCACGCCCCGCGTGACTGGCGGTGACCGAAACAGAACCGCGGGGTCACGGCAGAGGCTGCAGAGGGCACTTCTGCTTGTTTCTAGCCCTGGAGAGTATAACCGGAGCTCTCCGGCACCCCCCGAGCTTCCTGCCCCTGGGTTTAAACTTTCCTGTCTCCCCAGGACATTACTGTATCAAAACTACAGAACTACCGCTGCAAGGACAACGTGTTTTCAGTAAATGCCCTGAACTAACCTGAAGAATAAGTTAAGCTGTATCGAAGTGATACAAAAAATGGACCTATCCCAACTGTTCAAGGTGCTGGTGACAAACAATGCTCCCAACGCAGCCGGATCCCTCGCTCCAGAGGCTGAGGCCGAGCGCCCGCCCAGCAGCCGGCGCCTGGGGCCGCACCGGCGGGGAGCCCAGACCCCAGCCGCATCTGCGCGCTGCAGGAGCCGCTTACCGGTGGCTGCGTGTGCTCTCGACTCCTGGTGAGAAGAGTTGAAATGAGAGAATCCTGGACTCTCAAACCTTAGCTTCTATAAAAATAAACAAAAAAATACGAGGGGGAGAAAGGCCTATTTCTTATTGCTGGCCCATCTACTACAATTTCAAATCGCTCTTCTCCCGTGTCTGACGGCTTGTGACAAGCGAGGCTATGGAGCGGCTCCAGCCGGGACGGGGCAGAGCCGGCGGCGTGAGGCCCAGGAGCCCCGCCCGCAGTCCCTGCTCGGGGGCAGGCTGGGGGCTCCCCAAGCAACTGCCCATGGGCAAGAGGGGCAGGCAGGTGGTAGGGAGACCAGAGCCTGTAATCACTCCTTGAATCCAGCGTCGCACATCTCTGTCTACATTTCAGTGCTATATTATCTACGTTCAAATATTTAATTTTTGGAATAGATATTTGGATGTGTTTTGTATAATACATCGTCAATTTTAGTTTTCTTGAAGCTTTGCTAACGAGACTGGGAAAATGTACCCGGAAGGAAGAGGGTTTTAGGCAGGACGCTCTGGGTGAAGGCCTGGCCCCGCCCGCGCCGCGCCCCCGCCACGCCCCTCACCTGGTACCGCCCGGCGTCCAGGATGACCATTTTGGGCGTCACCTGGCTGCTGGCCTCGTAGTCCTGCAGCGGCACGTGGGCCTCGGTGAGCTGGATGCCGAAGAGCGTGGCCAGGGAGTTGCTGATGCAGTACCTGCGGCGGGGGCACCAGCCGGTCACCGACCCACGCCTGCGGCACTCGGCCCAGACCGACCCCAGCGCCAGAAGCCGGGAGAGCGGCTGTGCCCCCCTGGCAAACCGACGTTCGGAGGTTCTGGGAAGGAACGGGGAAGCCAGCTACACATGGACCAATGGCCACTACTAGGAAGTCTTTCCAAGGACTGTCGTCCACTGTAGCCCCGAACACTCTGACCCCCAGAGGGAACGCCAGGCGCGCCCTGAGGGAACGTGAGAGGGCAGAGGTGCCGGAGCTCGCAGGGGCGGCGGCGGGGAGCAGGCGGCCCCGGGGACGAGGCTACAGTTTGGGAACACAGGTCTGCCCGCCGGTCCCGTGACAGCAGCGAGGGGGGACCCCCAGGGCACCCACGGAGCGGGGCCTGGGGCTCTCGCTGCAGAACGCAAAGAGGCCTGTGTGCTTCCAGCACCTTCTAGGGAAGAGCTGTCCTTGTGACAGCAGCAGGTCACCCCCGGCAGGAGCCTGTGGGAACCTCCCAAGCGCTCCTGAGGGTCCCCAGCCGCTCAGGTGGCGCCGCTGCCAGACCTGGGGGGATGTGGCAGGACAAGGAAAGAACCGCGAAAGGAAAACCCGCTTTGTTTTAAGAGAATCGCGGCGACAGAGGTGACCGGAGGTGCCCCAGCCGCCCGCGCGGCAGCGAGGCACTGCCCGCGACTCACGCGATCTTCTTGCACACGGCCAGGGCGCAGGACAGGGTGTCATTCTCCTCGTGCCACTTGCACCTGCAAGAGAAAGGGCCTGACCGTCCCGCGCTCGGCAAGGGCCCCGCTTGCGGGTTGCCGCGTCCCGGACTCCAGTTCACCTCACTGGCATCACTTCAGACAACCTGTCACTGTCACTTAAAGATGAAAGTTTCTAGTTTAACTCACGAAAAATGAATTTCTTAAAAGCAGGTTTTTTATTTACTTGCTCGGATGCAAATTCATGATGCTGTACAAGCCTCACAAAACCGTAACAGGTCTGTTTTACCTCAACCAGAACGAGCGTCTCAGACACACGTCAGTGGCTGGGGTGCACGTGCACAGTCACGGGGTCCTGTTCCAGGCACCGGGGACACGGTACTGAACGGAGCACAGGACCTCTCGCCCACACAAAGCTGACCGTGCGGAGGGGAAGACGGACGAAAGCCACGCCTGCACAGCGCGCAGCAGGTTCCCGAGAAGTTAGTCCTTCGGCGAGGACACAGGCGAGCGGCGCTCTGAAGCGCTGGAGAGCGCTGACCGTCAGTCAGGTGGCAGGAGAGGCACCACTGAAGGGGAGGCCAGACAGGGAGGGACCACCAACGGACTCCCATGACGGAGCCACGGCACCCGCCCCGCGCCCCGCGCACCTGCCCACAGCGCGCAGCCCCTGCCACCCTCGCCGGCGCCACTGCATCAGACAGACCTGCCCAGACGCGGCGAGAAGCTTCACCTGAGTCACAAACAGGCCAGGCCGTTCAGTGTGAAAGTCAGTTACCTGTGTTTAACGGAAGTCATTTAACTGGATGGGAGACTGTCTAAAAATAAAATTAAGAATTTCCCACTTCCTTTCCAAAAAGTGGTTCCATAAATATGATTCGTAAAACTCTAAAATGAAGCCGTAGGTTAAAATTAACCTACGTTCTTACCTACCCACGTGGAATCGAGTCATTTTAAATTTTCAGTTAGTGTTGCTCCTTGTCTAGAACGTAAGCCCCAAGGGCACCGGCCTCACATACACATTCCCACTGCAGATTGTACTGGACAGGGAAGCAAACGAGGAACAGCGCATTCCAGGGTTAAAATAAACAAAAACCAAACAACAGAAGGAAACCCTGCAGAAAGCCGGTCCCAGGGAAAACGCCTGCGAGGCCACGATTCTACAGCCGGCCCTCGAGCAGCTCAGCACCGGGGCGCTGACCCCATGCGGCAGGACACGCGTGTGACCGGCAACTCCGCCAGGTTTCCGGCATCCCTCGGGTCCGGGGACGCGAGTCCCCAGGTAACGGTGCAGAGAGCGGCCCCCGCAGCCACAGATCTGTGCTCTGGCGTCGTGCCATCAGTGCACAGGAAGCCTGTCTTCTGCGCGGGCACGCAGGCCGCTGCCCAAGCTCCGACAGCATCTTGTCCACGGGGGATACGCAGCGGCATCTTGTCCACGGGGGATACGCAGCCGAGAGCCCTGGCACGCCGCCTGTCCCTCACCTGGAGTCTTGGTGCCCTGCTCCCCAGACCTCCAGCCAGGGCTCCGCCTTCTCCCAGGAGAACGGCCTCGCCTCTGCCCTCACCCCTCCCAGGAGCCGCGGTCACCTGACAGCTACGGTGCTCGACGCTCTGCTCCGGCCCACACACCGGTTTTCCCGAACAGCCCGAGCCCCGCCCCCCGGCCGAGTCACAGCCGGCACCTCTCCTCTTGGACAAGGCCTCCCTTCACCCCGAGCCTCTGCGCTCAGACACGCTACCCATCCTTCCCCGAGAGCCAAAGGAGACATTCCTTCCCTTCCACCCAAGGGACTCCCCCTCATCTGCCATCGTCCCGGGAAACCCCCTGCCGACGCCCACCGCGCCCCGCCTGCATGGGGTCCCGCTGCCCCACCCCGGTCAGCCAGGGGCTCAGCAAGGGCGCCCGTGCCGCCCGCCCCGCAACCCAGGCCCACACTTCCGGCAGGGGCCACCCAGATGTCGGGCAAGTACCAAAAACTGCACGGGACTAAAACAAGCTCATCAAAAGTGGGGTCAGAACACAGAACTGCACGTCTTAAAGCCCCCACTGCTGGGGCTTCCGCTCACGACGCACATGTGGCCTCCTCTTGCTCCTAAGACCCATCGAAATGACAGAGACTAAGCCCAGACGTCCAGCACGAGGAGGAAACAGGAAGAGCCCTCCCAGAAAGAGAGGGAGCGAACGGCCAGGGAGGCCCGTCCCAGCCCCCAGGCCTCAGGGCCAGGTGGCGCGGCAGGAGGGGGAGCGGGCCCGCGGGGTCTCCGGGGGGGCCTGCCGACCTCTGGACAGGGCGTCCAGCACCCCAACTCCAGGCCGCAGGGGCAGCTGACCTGGCAGCACGAGGTGGCAAGCGTGGGCCCCGGGCCCCGTGGCACAGCCCTCGGCCCCTGGCGGGGGGCTCCGCTTCAGCTCCACACCGGTTGCACCGCTTTCCTCACGGCGGTGGCGGCGGCGCCTGCCCAGGGTACCCCCCACAATGAACCACACGGCACCGCCTCGGCTCTGCGGCCTCACTTCCCAACCGGCCCCAACCCAGGGCCGTCACACAGGCAAGGAGCGCCCGCAGCCTGGACCAGCCGGGCCCAGGAAGGCCACACCCGCAACCCACAAGTCCACCGCACAATCCAGGGACCGAGGCGAACCACCATCCCGGCCCCGCCGCCAATCCTGGTTCCTCTGCTCGCCTCTGCCACTCTCCCTGCCGAGGCCGGGACCCCGCCCCCAATCTGTGGGCCGAGGAAGCAGCTCCAGGGCGGGACCGCGTACGGGCCCCTCAGCTCTCCACCCCCAGCCTGCGGGGTCCCCTCTGTGCACAGCCAGACCCGCGAGGGCACGGCTCCAAGCGCAGCGCAGAAACACCCGCGTTCACTGCTCGCCAGCGAAAGCCGGAGAGGCCCCCACCTGGACACTGAGAAGGCTTACAGCGTATTAACTCCCGGGTTAAAGGAAGGTGGAACTACAGAATTTGTCCTAAATGACAAAATACTGTGTATCAGTCTGCAGGGTACATTAAAAGCAAAGTTAGAAGAAAATTCACACTACTAAACACTTACTGATAAAAAAACATGCTGTGACCTGAAACTAAAACAAAGTAATAGTAAAGTAAATGTAATGGAAAAATTAAAAAAAATGAAAATAAGAAATTAATGTATTAAATTCTGAGCCCCCTCCCCAAAAAAGAAAAAGACCTGAAGTACCAAGAAAATAAGTTAAAGCCAAAATTAATGAGAAAGGGAATGAAAAAGCAGATCTAGTCAATTAAAACCTGTTACTTTGGAAAAAATTAACAAAATAGACAATGCCCAAAGCTAGCTTGGTTTAGGGAAAAAGGAGAGGCATAAATAACGGGAAGCGAGAGAGAACCATGAAAACAAGGAAAAACTTTAAAATTGTAAGAGACTCTCACTTTGCAGATTCTCAAATACAGGTGGAAACCCGCATAAAAGGCGCAACGCCCTGCGGAAGCACAGTGACCGGCACCGACCCTCTCAGAGCCGGAGCGCCCCACGAAGCCGCTTCTGGGGGGTCCGCCCACGCCAGGTCACTGGTCCTGAAATGCCCCGCCTGGCGGGAAAAAAATTAGACGGAGTCCAAAGACACAGAAACAGATTTGAACAAAAATCATACGAAAGGACACCGTGTTCTTTGGGTAGAATTCAGCTTCATGAAGATTTCCGTCTCCCTGAGTTAATTCACACGTGGGATGCAATCCAAGGAGCTTTCTCACAGAACCAGATGAAGTGAGCGATACTTCTGAAAATACTTCTTTGTTTGAACCCTGTTAACACACTAACTTTCAAAAGATAAAGCCAAGAAGGGGAGAAAAAATAAAAGACGGAACACACTAGCAAACAGACTTAGCTCTATGTCAATGAGAAGCTTCACCATTCTGCCGGGGAGGAGAAAACCCAAGTAACTTCTCAACGATCTACTTGGACATTTTACCTTCAGCCTGAAAACAAAGGAGCCAAGCCCTGTGGCCCGTGTGTCTGCCTCCACAAGGGGTGACCCTCAGCCCCCTGAACCCAGCAAGCCTGAAAGGCCTGGAGCGCCAGGCTCCTCGCTCAGAGGGGACTCCGGGGAGCTCCGGGGCGGGGCAGGCTGGGCCTGCAGGCTGCACGCGCTGGGGGGCGGGGGAGAGCAGACGCACAGGCGGAGGGGGCGCGGGCGGAGTTTGCGTGCGTGCGTGCCTGTGGCCGAGCTGCGCCCACCGCGGTCAGCCAGGGCCAGCGACGCTCCAGCAGCACGAGCCCAGCTGCGCCCACAGCCGGTCTCCTACGTCCCGCCCGCACCTGCAGACCCCGGGCCCCTGGAGCAGCGGCCAGCCCACAGCTGCGGCACAGCCACTGCCAGATGGGCCAGGACCCTCGGGCCACAGAGCAAAGCAGCGCGAACACAGAGGCGGCGATGGCCACAGGACACAGGTACTGGGGCGGGGGGCCCTGCTGGCCGTAAACGCGAAGTGACAGTAACATGAGAGCCCACTACATAGAAAGGAGTCCACGAGTCCACAGCCGTAAGATAAATGAAAACAACGGGCGCAAGGAGGCGCTCTTCCCTCCAGTGGACAGGGAGAGCGGGACCGGAACCTCCATTTCACAGATACAGTCGTAACAGATCCAGGCAAAACCATCCACGGAGGCTGACGCCAGCAGCTTCCAGTTCCAGGGACAGAGTCTCAGAGCCCCCAGGCACACTGCAAGGTGCCAACCGCGGGCTTCCCGCGGGGAGGCCTGGCGGGCGCTGCCTTCCACCGGCGACCGGAGTCGGCATCAGCAACCGGACGCATGTCTGCAGGATGGCACGGGGAGGAGGCACAGCACGCACCTCGGGGACCGCGCTGCCAGGAGCGCGGGCAGCCCGCACGGGAAGCGCGACAGGTGCTGCCGCCGGCCTGCACGCTTCCCGAACGTCAGGTCGCGGAAGCGCACGGGGGACCATCGCAGGTCAAAGGAGCCCAAAGAGACGTAGTGACTGAACACAGCAGGTGACCCGGGGTTGAATCCTCGACTAGATTTTTTGCGCTCTAAAAACATTACTGTTAACAATGAGCACAATCTGAAAGTGGCCTTCAGGTGACATGGCAGGATTGTATCAGGGGCAGCGCCCCATGTGACGGTCACACTGCGTGACATGGAAGTGCCCCGTCCCTGGGAAAGCCCGTCTGGCAGGCGGGCACAAAGGCACGACAGCAACCGCCTCTCACAAGACGCACCAACCTCAAGAGGGAGGGCAGCGGAAATGTGTTCCACGTTAGCGATTACTGGATGGAGAAGATGGTGTGCAGGGTCTTTGTGCTATTCTTGCAACTTCAGGCCTCAAATTATTTCAAGATAAAAAATACTTCTGCCAATTTATTTCCCTTACCTACGTCTTACATGTAAATACAAGAATTCTGCATAATGAAACACCTAAACAAACATATCCTTCCCTCAGCACAGAAATCCTAGGGGATAACACGCTGCGGCCATTTCACTGGTAGTTTTTCTGTCATTAATAGCAGACAAAGTAACCATGTGCCTCACGGTCCGTGGAATCTTCCATTCAAGGAAATCAGCGTTTCCAGGGCTTCCCGGGAAAACATGGCCTCACGAGGCAAAACCTAGCCCTCCCGACCCGCAGCTCAGGACAGAGGCCAACCCCCGACCACCGGCCGCCGCAGGCACCTCGTGTGGCTCGAGTAATCCCACATGGCCACGTCGAGCAGGCTGCGCACCCAGGTCTTGGACGGCTCCTTGAGGAACTTTTGCTGGTAGATGCCCACCACGAGGTCCTCGACAGCGAGCAGGCTGAGGTGCTGCCTGGCTTCTTTCACCGGCAGAGAGAGACAAACAGGGTCAGTGGCTGCCACTGCGCAGGCCGGGCGCGCCCGCGTGGAAACCAGGGCCGAGGCCGCAGCCCCCGCCCCCGCCTCACCTGTGCCCGTCTCCATGTGCTCCAGACACCAGTTAACACGGGCTCGGTCATCCGACTGCGGAGGAGAGCAAGCGGGCTTGGGTCTCCTGCCCGGAGACGCCTTAAGTGCCGCTGTCCCCGCGGCCTGGGGACGGGGCTGGCAGGAGAGGTGGGTGCTGGGAAGGGACGGGTTGCAGAGCCTGTGGCAGCTAGATGAGAACTTTTGTAATCAAAAGAGCAACATGCGCCAGGAGGGACTCCTGTATCCACCACCGGCCGCACCCATGGACTACGTTAACACGCTCTATGAAAGCAAGGGAGACTTGGGTAGAAGAACAAAGAAACCACTGTTCAGAAAAAGAGAACCTATCATGACCACGCTAATACATAACGAGGCTGAACTCCAGTTCTTGGGCTCCTAGCCTAGAAGGCTTTAGATGGGGGAAGAAAGAGCAAAATAAACCCTTCAGGACTAAAAGGTGAGCCAAGGGACCGCTGCAGAGCAGCTGCGAGCGACGGGCAGTCTTGCCACGAGGGCCGTCCTGGGGGAGGGACCTGCGGGCACCTGAGGAGGAGGAGCGAGAAGCACAAGACCTACCAGAGCAGACACGTGCTCAGCGTCCGCCGCCTTCAAACCCCTCCAGCACCCGAGGCCTTTACAAACAAGGACCCTGCCTGACCGCCCCCAAAACCGCTCACAGTGAACGAGCTTTGCAAACATGAGCAGCCGGTACACAGGCAAAGCTCTTTCTCTGGGAGCCTTTCGTGGGTCTGCTGATCCCTAAGTAGGTACCTTAAAAGAAGCTCCCACAGCGAAGTTACCTTGCAGTACACGGGCGGCCAGCTCCCCAGGTGCGGGCGAAGAAACCTGTACAGGTTCCGGAGCACAGTCGCTTGGTCACGTCCAGGCTCAAAGTTTGAGATGGGAATCTTGTGGCTAGAATCGCCTGAAGGAAATAAAGAGAAGGCAGGAGTTCAGATCTGCCCTAGAGCCGCGCTGTGCAGGCAGCGCCCCGGGAGTGGGGAGAGGGGGAGGGGGCAGTGGGGAGCTCGTCTGCAGCCGCTCGTGCCGGGCCTGGGCAGGCTTGGGCGCATGGCCCGCAGCCGCAGCCAGCAGGGTCCGAGCGCCGAGCGCCAAGGCGCGCAGGGCTGAGGCGCAGTAGTTGCCGCCCCGCCCCCCCCCCCCCAGCCCTGTTTGCTTCCGCAGCATCGGTTACCTGCTTCCGCGGGGGGCTGACGGGCCTGAACGGACCATTCCCAAAATACGTTCATGAGTTTGAAACTGAGCACCGTCCCGAGCACCGTGAAGAAGTCTCCCAACGGCCCACCCTGTCTCGCACGGGACGTGACACATCCCGTTGCCCGCGTGTCCCCGCTGTACCCGTGAACTGCCCCTCGGTCACTTGGCAGTCCAAGTGACCAGGTCCACTGTCAGGGTCATGGGGCTTGTGCGCAAGTCATCCCTCTCTCACACAACCACGGCCCAAAGCACAAGAGTGACGCTGCCACACCACAGGCACAGGGTTTAGCGCGAGCTGCAGTTTCGGGCGCACCGCGGGCCCTGGACCGCATCCCCGTGAAGAAAGGGGGCGGCTGGCGCACGGCACTGGGTGGCAAATGGCGGGGTCGGGGCTGACGCCCAGGCTCAGAGGCCACGCCTGCAGTGCCTTCGCTATTTCCACGCTGCCTTTCATGCGGCGTTTTGTTAATAAGGCCAGAGAACTTAACAATAATGACTGCTTTTTAAAGGTTTTAAGATTTCCACTTCCAGCAAAAAATGGACCAGGTGATTCAGACCAACCTTACCACCAAAGTTTAAAGTGCTCGGGGAACTGAGAGAACACACAGCAGCCAGGGATTATCAGCTGAAGTGGAAGTGACTATATGATGACTGTAAGGCTCGAGTTACTTTAAAATAATTTCTCAGCACTCCATATGAACGAACAAGTGCATAAAGAAACAAGAATGAAAATGAAAACAAAGTGATTAGAAACAGATCCAGAAATATTCCAGACTCTGAAGATACTGGACACAGATTTTAAACAATCGCATTTATATCGAAGAACATCCCATTAAAGTTTCAGCGCGGAACTGGAAGCGGTAAGAAGAGCTGCAGGAAGACGCTGGCTTCTGACGGCGGCAGGCCAGGGGGTCGCTGAACACACCCAACGCCCGCGAGGGCCCCGACGGGAGAGGCGCGGTGAGGGAACCGCCCGAAGTCTCGCAAAGGAAGAGGCCCGAGCCGAGCTGGGTTTTGGGCTCCTTGGTAACTTGGGCATTTACCAATTGTGGGGGAGGAGATCCGGAGATAGTGAGAATTAAAAATAACACCCCAGTTGTTATTGTGTACGTAAACTATTTGTGATAAAAAATATTCGATTGTCTTCCGGCTCCTGTTGTTTATGCTGTGAAGTCACCTGAAGTTTTACTATGATACTCTCGTGGCAATTTGTCCAGCTTCCCCCTTTTAGACTAAAGACCAACTAGCAACAGAGTGACTTCCATGAGGTTGCGCCCAGCTTCGGCCCTGAGATTGGACCGAGCAACCTGAGGCGGCGAGCGAGCCCAGCTTTGTGCCCGGGCCGTGCCTTCTTTGGGGAGGGACAGCAAGTTTTCATACGTACTGTCCGTCACTCAATTACAAACAACCAGATACAACAAGAGATCCGGAAACTTGCTTGAACATCAAAATAACCAACAGACTATAAAAATGGACCCCAAAAGAAAATCCCTGTATGAGGGTTATCAGACATAAGGCATTACAAGAACAAGGCTTATTCTGTTCAGGAAAATAAATAATTTCAGCAGAACTATTAAAAAAGAACCAATGTGAATCCAAAGACTGAGAACACATTCCCTAGGACAACAAAAGAACCTTAACAACAAAATCAGGTGACATTAACGTCAGCCTCTAACGTGAGCACACGAAGGCCACAAAGACAGTTTTTCTTGTCTTCCAAAGTCTTACTTTCTCGATCCAAACCCTAGTCCACCTGGAGCTGCTCCTGCACGGAGAGCCCGGCGCCTCAGCCTGGCGCAGCGCAGTCAGCCCGCTCCGCCGCCGGCGCACAGAGCTTTTTGGCGCCGCGCTCTGCTCTACAGGCGCGCTTGCTTTTTGGTGTCCCAATCAGGCTGCTTATGGAAAAACTCGAAGGACATAACCAAAAATGAATCAAAACAGCACTGTGAGGATCACAAGATAGTTGCTTATGGCAGGTTTGAAAATCTTATTTCTAACTTCAAACACTTCCGAAACCCACTTGTCTATGTGTTTAGGTAAAAATACTTTTAATCAAACAATGACACTAATTTTTAAATGATACATTTAAAAGTGAACCTAGTATCATGATTTTCATTCTAATCAAATAGTAAACTGGTTAAAATTTAGTTTCTGGAAAAGAGTTTAGTTCAAGAACTTAGCTGTACAGAGTCATGTCCTTTGGTTGCAAAATACTTGAAATAAAAACCTGTTTTCCTCATCCAAAAAATTAATTCAGAACTTCTTTATACGTTTAACACTGTCATTTTGTCATTTGTGAAGCATCACTTTTTTTTCCTTAATTCTGAAAGGACATCACTATAAATTGCCCTCAATCTACATAATCTGACACCTCTGAAAAGACTTACCTACATCCTTGGCCAAGAAAAGCAGCCAATCTTGAAGCCGAAGGATACGTGCAAAAAATAAAAACACAGTCCCCATAAAGGGAAAGATAATTTTATCGGGTAATTTTGACGTTTTTAAAGGATCACACACACCATCTACCACGTCTACGAACAGCCTCCAACAATTAACCCAGGGGTATTTCCCACAGACATTTCGCGTGCCCGGTTAAAGCTGTAGGTCTTAACCAGTTACACACAACAGACACACACACATTTAACGCCTGTAAGCTTTATACTTACTTGCAGCCTGACAATGAAACCGAAATCCTCGTGGAATTTCACCTGTAACACCAAACATTTTGTTGAGGAAACCTGCAATCTGGCAGCTCTCTGCTTATCCCTTAGTGACAATGACATCCCACAGGACGACCATGTTGTCACACAAGTAGGTCATTGTTATTGCCATATAAAAGTACACGCTATTAAACCTATCTCATAGCATTTTTGAACCAAAGGTATAATGGCTATCAAAGAATTTTAGTATATTCTCTGAGCTACTTGAAAAAGCCAATTACCTGTTACAGAAAAATACTGGGTAAGAGCCTTTGCACTGAAGGGGTCGTAGCTCGGGGTCAGAGCAGGGTCTACAGAACAGGTATTTCTCAGAGGAAACGGTCTCCAAACCCTGTCTTTCTAATGTCCTACGAGCACATAAAACGAGTTGCCACTTGGCTTGCCCTGAGCAGCGACTCTTACGGCGTGAGCAGGGCCAGCTCTTCCGTCCCCTGGAAACAAGGAAAGACGCTGGGCCGCCTCAATGAACCTAAAGCAACGGACAAACCTGAAGAAGGTCCTCTGTCCCCCACCTTCTGTCCTTTACTCTTCTCCAAACACATGTCCCCTGCTTCCCTCTGAAGGTCCAGTGTTCCCTTCACTACCGTCTATCCTCTTGGGAACTGAGCCAAACCCCGCATCTGTGTCACGCGCTGCCGGCAGCAAGGTGGCAGCGAGGTGGCGCAGCGGGAAGGAGAGGCGCTGGGAGGGCCCGCCTACGGGGCCCTCCCGACTTGCCTGCTGCTCCTTACCAGCGGCTCCCCGGTGCACAGGGTCCCCGACCGCGAGCTCACGGGTCAGGAAGGCCCAGCCCCGCGCTCAGGTCCCCAGAGCCACAGCCAGGCACAACTCGGGCCGGCTGAGGAAGACCAAGGCGAGGGCGGGGAGCGGGCTGCGCAGGAAGCCCTCCGGAAGGCCGCCAAGGGCGGCAGCGGGCAGGCCGGCAGCAGGCCACGTGGTTTCGGGCCTTCTCCCGGCCCCGCTCGCACGCTTACTTGAGGTTAGAAGCCGAAACCAAAAACCCTGTGTCAGCGCCCAATTCTTAACAGCTTTCAACCAAGCATTATGAAGGGTTAGGAACTCAGCCGAGCATTAGCTTTTAGGAGGACACATAGTGCACCCAACGAGGTCAGGCTAAACCCACGTGTCTTACGCCGGCGCCGCCCCGCCCGGCCCCTTACCAGGGCCCCTTACCGGGGTTGATGAAGCTGTGGAAGTCGGCCATGATGCCCTCCTGCAGCGAGTACCGCACGCAGCCGATCTCGCAGGGGAGGAAGCGCCGCGCGCAGTGCGGAGGCAGTTCGCCGTGGCTGAAAATGTTCAAAAAATAAAAGACACCTCCAAGGAGAGCTAAAAAGAAAATCGTAGCAAATGAACAGGTGAGTTGTCTTACATTTACCCCTTCTACAAAAGCCAACCTCTTAGAGCCATCTTCCTTGTGTTCCTAAGTTCCTAACGGAGCCGGAAAAGAGAACTCATCAGCTGGACGGGATGAATGAATTAGAAGTTTTCCAGTTATGCTTCTCAAGGATGAAGGCAGCAACCCCTCTGCACGAAGCAACACAATGACCCGGCGGAATCTCAGGAGTGACGTGAGCAGAGCCGAGACCCACGGCCAACAAACAAGGGGGTCTGGGAAGTACAGCCGAGCCAACTCTGTGCTGCAAAACTCTGTGGTAGGCACTACAGACTGCTTAGTTCACCCTTTGCTTTTTACTGATATACACAAGACCATCAATTAATTATCCTAAGGGAGAAAAATGTGAGAAGGGTCTTGTTTACCAGGACTCACCACATTTAAGACTGTTATAAGTTTACTAATCTTCAATGCAGTCAGACCACAATAAAAGCAGCCAGAGGGAAGAGCAAGGACTCTTGTTAACCATGTTCTTTTCTGGGCTAGAACAATCATTCATCTTTACCTTTATAATTTAAATGTGCTTAAGTCTCTGTGTGCTTAAGTATCTGGTTATAAAGACTTAAATCCCATGCTTAATAACACATGAAGTGGTAGAAACCAACAGAATAGATTTTTGTTAAAAAAAAAAAAAAAAAAAAGGAAGTCTCTCCAGTGGTACTCCAACAAATGCAAATTACCTCATCTCTTCTTACAACTCTGGCACCATACTTGAAACCTGTAATCAATTACTTTGAAATGCAGGTTCAAAACAAACAGAACACGTATTTACTGTTCCATATCCCACAGTGCCTTGAGCACCCAAATTTATCTGTGCCCAACACATTAGGTTTACGCTACCTTGATCACTTTTCAGAGACAAAGTTGACACGTCGGGGGGTGAAACGCTCTGCTCCGGCGCAGGCGTGCCTGGCTTCCTCAGCGGGGCGCCGTCAGGTTTCTAACAGGGAAGAGAATGAATGGCCACGTACGCTCTTGCCGAGCTCTTTACACCGCACGCTTAAATTTAGCAAAATAGCTGTGGGCAGCACACAGATTACTTCAATAACATCTCCAGGCCGGCAAACCCATTGAGTAAATGTGTACACATTTGTCAACGACAGCAGCAGGAGAGGCAGATAACACAAAATCTATAAATACCCTGACCCGCAGGTGAGTGGCAAATAACAAGGTCAATTGTTGCCGGATTCTACTGAGTCACATAACATGTGCCAGTCCAGTGGCCAAAAGAACATCGTCGGTAAAGTACTCTAACGCTGTTTGCTTTTCGCTGAAAGTAAAAACCAGAGCTTGCCGACGCCAAGTGTCAACGGGACGGAGAGACATGGCTTACTTTTTGAAGGGAAATGTCTTAAAACGAACTGTAAGAAGGAGGGAAAAAAATCTAAGTACAAATTAAACTAATTAGAGCCTCTACTCAAACAAAAATCTCTCAAAACAAGCAGAGCTCTCTAGAATTTCAATCCAACGTTGGCAGTTGGAAGGAAGAACAGAATTTCACTATGTAAGAATGAAAGGAACCTAAGAGGGGAAGGGCGCAATTAGCCCGCACTTTCTCAATACAAATCAAGAAAACAAATCTTGTTTCCTATTTTTATGTTCTACCTACACAAAAACTGACCCAAATACACTTTATTCAACTCTTACCTGTAAGGCACCTATTTGCCACATCTGTGCATCTCGTTGTCAGTATTTTAAATAAAGCAGCTGGCCTGGTTCCGGGTGTCATTTAAAAAGACAAATTGCTCCGAACAACTTATAAACAACCGGAAAAAATGTTATTTAATCATGAAGAAGTTGAAAGGGACGCTTAGGGATCCTGTTGTAGAGGCCCTAAATGCCACCACGCCCGCTGCACACCAGGGTTCGCTGGGCGTGGGTTCCCCAGTGGGATCCGCCAGCCTTTGCCGCCAAACGATACCGGCGTGCGCCCCAGTTCGGGAACCTGCTGGGTTAGTACCAGGCAGGCATCCTGATGCCAGGGAGGAAAACGAAAACCTGCTTTGCACTAACTACACTGGGACGCCCAGTGGGCCGCCCTGACACGCCCCACTCGCTCATCTAAAACCTGCCGAACGTGCCCTGGCGACCTTTACCTGCTGCTCCGGAGGCCCAGACTCCTTTCCTTGGGCGGCCCTCCACGCTCGAGCCATGTCTGCATATTTCTCCTTTTCATCTTGGCCCAGGAGCTTGGGGACACAGCAAAGGAGACGCAGAGAGAGGCAGTGGTTGAGGCCCCGACGCTCCGGCCCGTAGGCGGACGTGGGCATCGCGGGCTGCGGTTCAGGCGTCGGTTTGCCCCGGGCCGGGTGCAGGGGGCTCCCCTGCCACCCTGGCAGGGGCTACGGGCTCGCTGTCCCTCCCACTTCGCCCTCCCAATTCCCAACTGCCCGGCCGTACGAGCCGAGCCTTACCGCCCAATCAGCAGAGCAGTAGGGCACGGCGTCCGCCACGCGAGCCACGGGCAGGCCTCGCCGCCGCAGCTCGGGGATCTTCTCCTGCACGAAGAAGTAGTAGGCATTCCTGCTGGCCTTGCGATTCGGCATGGCCAGTGCGGCCAGGCTTCGACCGGCCTTCGACCGGCCTGGGACAACACGACTCCGGTTCCGGCGCCCTCGCCGGGCTCCCGCCCTTAGTAACCGCGGCGGCGCCTGCGCGTGCAGCCCCGCAGGTCTCGACCAATCAGGGCCCGGCGAGCAGCCGCATTAGCCACGCTGCGTGAAGAAACGTGTCTGCCAGGGAAGATCCCTCCGCGTGCAGCGGCCGGGGCGGAGCAAGATCGCGGGTGTGAAGCATCCTGATTGGCTGGGATGAGTCGTGGGCGGCGTTGTCACGTGGAAAGCCTGGCGCAATTTGTAGGCATTATTGCGTAACACGAATCCAAGCAGGGAGAGGAGAGAGGGCTGGCGAATGCTGGCGTTTTTACTAGTGTGCGATCGTAAAGGGCCAGCCGTGCTGAGCGGCATGCACGGTGTACTAGGGGGCAGAGTGAGGAACAGTGCAAAAGAGATCCTTTCCCTCAAGAGATTTACAAGAAAAAGAGATTTACAAGAAATACAAAAGCAAGCGGCTCAACCAATATTGTTTTGTTTTTCCCCTTTCTTAAGTAACATCATTGTTGCAAAGACTGTTTTTTTAATGTAGTTTTTAGTGAGTGTTATAGGGGAACCTGGCCCACACCCCAGGCATGTGCCCTAGACTGAAAACCGAACTGGCAACCCTTTGGTTTGCAGGCCAGAACTCAATCCACTGAGCCACACCAGCCAGGGCAAGACAGATTTAAAATAATGTCCTTGAAGCCCTGGCCTGGTGGCTCCGTTGGTTGGAGCATCATCCCATACACCAAAATGTTGCAGTTCGACGTAGGGTAAGGGCGCATACCTAGGTCTCAGGTTCAATCCCCAGTCAGGGCACGTCCGGGAGGCAACTGATCGTGTTTTCTCTCTCACACGGATGCTTCTCTCTGTCTCTCAAATCAATAAACATATCCTTGGTGAGGATTTTAAAAAATATAGGGACTCTAAAGTAAGGTGTATGACTATTAAAGATTTAGTCTTAAAGGTCTGGCTCATTTTTTGTTAGTTTTGTTCCTAGAGTGTATTTGGAACCACTATGGAAACTATCTTGTTTCCATTATATTTTCTAACTGGTTACTGCTGGTGTGTAGAGAACGTATTGATTTCCGTGTTAATCTTGTGTATTTAGCCACCCCGCTGAACTCTGTACTTTCCCTTCCATTGGTTTCAAGTACATTCAGTTTTGCTTCAGTCAGTGGCTACTCATACTTGTTTTAATACATTTTTATAACAAGCTACAGAGTTAACAGGGAGTCTTATCCACTCTTCCCAAATGTTAATGGATAAGCAGCTTAGAAAAGTACTGCTTCTCCCCACTTGGCCTCCCAGCCTGTAGGAGGCGGTTAGACAGGTGTGAGCAGAGTAGGAACGGTAGGCCAGGTGCAGAGGGTCACCAGGCCGCAGGACCCTGGGTGCCTAGCAACAGGCAACACGACAAGCCCTTGTGGGACCACCCCCTTGAGCGTCACCCTCTGGAGGGGACACCTAGGCCTCTGCAGTGTTTCAGCCCCAGCCCAGAGAAGCCGCAGAATCAGACGGAGCAATGCCATGCTGCCGGCGGGGCCGGCCGCACTGACCTGCCGGTGCCGGCCAATCAGAAGAGACTGCGAGTCGGGGCTCTCATGGAGTCCTCCCTGAGGCCTCCAGATAAAGGCACTTGGTACAGGGACTCGGTGTGGCTCTCTCCACGGAGCACACCAGCGTCCTTCCCCCTGCCTCACCCCAACCCCACCCACCTTCACCCCCCGCCCCCGGGGTGTTTTCCTTCCCTCTCTCTTTCTTCCTAAGCCTCAAAGGCCTTTCTTTTGCCTCTGGAACTCGTTTCCTGAGCCCATGTCTTCTACGGCTCATTTCTATTACCTGTGACTTTCTAAATAAACTTTCACTTACAGTTTGAGTCTTGTCTCTGAATTCTTTCTTAGCCAGAACTCGAGAACTGAGATCGCTGAACCAAGGCCCTGTCTGACCCCCCGAGGTCTAACGCCTCGTGCCGTTTTCTGCTGCCAAGAAACCGGTGCATCCTCTGCCCCGCTTCCGTCTCCCCTTGATCCAATCTGGGATTTTAGTGCCCCATTCCTTTTTTTATAACAGTGTTGAGACATAATTGAAGTACAATAAATTGAATATATCTAAAGCATATAATTTGACAGAGATTAACATAAATGTGCAACTGTGAAACCACCCACCACCATGAAGATGATGAACATTCCCACTCCCCAAAGTTTCCTCCGCACCCCCTTAGGCTGCTTGTAGCTGCTCACGGTTCGCTGAGGCTCCGCCCATTTTTTCCCTTTTATTCCTCTTTATTCTGTTTCACTTTGCAGTTTCCATTTCTATTTCATGTTTAACAGTCTTTATTCTGCCATATCTAAGTTGCTACTAATCCCATGTAGTGTATTTTTTTAATATGAGATCCTTTCATTTTCATCTCTAGAATTTCATTTGAGACTTTTTTGTATCTTCCCTGTTTCTATTGACCATGGTCTGTATTTCCTCTACCTGAGCATGGTTGGAATGTTATCTAACGTAGTTATAGAGTATAGTTACAGTTCTCTAATGTCTTTGTCTACTCATTCCACCATTTGTGTCATTTCTGGATCTGTTTCTACTGATTGATTTTTCTCCTTATTGGTTGTGTTGTCCTCCTTCCTTATAAGCTTGGCGATATTTGGTTAGATGACCAAAGTAAATGTGACCATGTTGCATGCTACATGTTTTTGTATTCTCCTAAATATTCTTGCACTTTGTTCTGGGACATAGTTATTCGGACAAGCGTAAGTCTCGTTTTTCCTTCTTTTGCAGCTAGTTTTTCAGCTGTGTTCTTTGGAATCAGAGCAGCCTTCGGGGCTCATTTTCTCCTCTGCTGATATTTCTGCCTATTCTGCCTAACAACCCATGAATTTGGCTGATGGAAACGAACCTATTTGCGGCCCTGTGTGAATTTCGAGGATTGTGCCTCTAATCCTTTCAGGTGGTTCTTTCCCTGGCCCTCTGTGGTCCCCTCCCACACGTGCTGACCCGCACTCAGCTGGAGATTTGAGGGAGACCCTCAGCGGATTCGCAGAGCTCTGTCTTTGTGCTGCTCGCTCTCCGGGCACCCTGTCCTGCAGCTGTTGGGCGCTGTGGCCCACCCAGACACCTGACGCCCCTTCCTTATCCCCGAGAGACCTAGGGGCTCTGTCTGGCCGACCGCACTGACGCTGCCTTCTGGGTACTCTTTCCAAGCAGCAACCTGGGCAACCCCAGGGCTCCCCTATGCTTCTGTTCTTTCAGGGATTTCTCATCTCTGCTCCCTCCAATCCAGTGTTTGGAAAACATCGTTGCATGTGTTTTGACCCGTTTTTTTAGTTGTCTCAGGCTGCCGGATAAAGTCATTCAGAACGGAGCACGTCATGGGAAGAACTGAACGAAGAGCATCTCCGACAGAGGGAACGGCATATGTAAAAGCCTCAGACACTAAAGAGCATGGTGTCTCCTGGGAGCGGACGGGAGCCTGGCTGGTGCTGCGGCGCCCCCAGTCGGAGGGAGGCCCCGGGAGCAGCCAGTGGCAGACGCTGACGTATTATTCTATGTGGGTGGTCATTTCAGGGTTTAAAAAGAACATGATGTGGTTCACAGTGTGAGAAGACCCGCCTTGATGCGGCTTGGAGAAGAGGCTCAAAGCAGCGGGGGTGAGCCCGGTGACAGAAGTTGGGGACCCAGACAGAGACGGAGCAGTAGCCGTGGAGAGAAGAGAGTGCCTCCCGACTAACCTCGCGGAAGAACAGCCAACCGAAGGACTGGATGTGGAACCGAGAGAGTGGGCCTCCGAGGGTGTTGGTCTGAGGGACCCAGCGGCAAGTGGCGCCTCTTTCTCAAATTGCGAGGACCGGGGGCGGAAGGACAGCGCAGCGACCCAGAGGGTCCGGCACTCCCGGTCACGTCTAGGCCTGCGCCTCTCCTTCCCCGGTAATGCTGGTTTTTTTCAGTCTTGCCGAAAGAAAGTCCTACATACACAGAATAGGTTTTCCCTCTTTCTAACCAGATCTCTCTTCCTAGTCAGGAATTGCACGGGGTGCCGGTTTGGGTTCGCGGTGCCTGCCAGGGGCAGGGGACGGGGGACCAAGAGTCCAGTTATGGCCCTGTTAATTCTGGAACACCTCGTGCGCATGCAAGTGGAGACGTCAAGGAGGCAGCTGGCTAAGTCTGGAGCTCTGGGCTGGGTGGGTTTTTGGAAGCCAGCCCACAGGGATGGGAAAGGCACAGAATTGGAAGAGATTGTGTAGGGTAAGTGTGAAAAGGGGGAATAAATAGAATCCAGGATGGGGCCCTGGGAAGTCAGCAACAAGAGGGAAACCCAGTAACGTGACTAAGAACGAACGTCAGAGGAAGCAGGGAGAAAACCAGGAAAACAGGAGAACAGTGTTTCCAGGAGGAAGTCTTCTGGGCACCAGACTCCGTTTTAGGCACAATAAGAAGCTGAACAGAGCTTTTAACATAGCAAGGAAGAAAGGCGGTGAAGATATAAACAAACAGGATGCCCGAACAGCCTATTGGACAGGAAGTCCAGGGAAGAGAACGATGCGCGTTAAGGGAGTAAGGACCGATGGAGGGTGGAATTTTAGGGTGGTCAGAAAAGGCCCTACTTGGGGACATGGAATTTAAGCAAACACCGGAAGGAAGTGAGGAAGCAAAGCAGGAAGACGTCGGCAAAGAGCGCGCCAGGCAGAGGGGAGAGCAAGTGCAGGTGCTGCAACCGCGGTGGGCGCCTGCCGGCCGAGCTTGGGGGGAGGCAGAGCACGTGGGCGGGAGAGGGAGGGGCGCCCGGGCCCCACAGGCAGGCCTCACGGGCCTGGTAAGCACTTTGGATTTGAAGCTAAATGGGTGACATGCCATTAGACTGAGATGGCTTCTACCTTTGTTTTTAATTAAATTTTTTCCATCACCATTTATCCCGTCTATACCCTTTGCCGCCTCCGCCTGTCACCTCC